CGATAGGGGACATCAAGACAATACACTTGGAAGGATCAAGGTGGAGAGCGGCGGGGGGTTGCTCATTCCCGGTAGGTGTTACAAGTCCACTGCATCCACTGTGCGACTTTTGTTTTGGAAGGTCCCGCTAGGGTCTGTCCCAGACTCCCAGTGAACCGTTTTAGGCGCACTCCCCCTCCCTCCCCGTCATGATCCTACCTCCCCGCATCCCCAATTTCAAGCAGTAACAAGGCTGAAATTCGCCACAAGGAAAGTGAGGGACAGAGCCGGAGGATATTCAAAGAAGGAGCAAACTATGTTGCTCCCATTAACGACAAAGTATTTGATATGTTTGGGGTCGAGCTTTCTACAAGGATTGAAGTTATACGAGCTTCGATGTCTCCTTCCCGAGGGATGCTAGTTTTGAACCATACCCCTCCGTTCACGAGACCCTTTTCACCCACCCTTTAGAAGGAACGGCGAGTTAATCTCTCGAGCGGGCTTGCCCGGACGAAATTGACGCCGGCACATGGTCCCCGTTCGAAACAAATTATCTGCGTACCTGCCCGTCATCGTATGCGTAATTCCTTCCAGATCCTGCCGTCCTCGAGCCGAGCAGGGAGAGAGCGGGGAGCAGAGGCGCACCCGAATCCTTCCTCAATTTAACAGTCCTTTATTTCATACTGCCATCTTCTTTCTCATACTTGTTTGTGTATGCCTGCTCTCTTATACCATCTACAGCATTGGTACTCCGTCTAGCCATAAAAATGAGAGGGGAAGTTTCACAACTGCCTGCCCCTAGTCCTTTTCAAAAAGATGGCAGAAGCGCAAGCGGAAGTGGGCAGGCGGTTTTTCCACATGTAGGGGGAAAAAAAGGGGGGGAGGGGGGCTCCCCAAGGAACGCTGCATGGGGTAGTTCAACGTTGGTAATAACCTAGCCCAAATTCCGTGTTGCAGTCCGCCTTGACAAATCAGATACACTAGACGCAAAGCGCAGTTCCTCACGACTATTTCTGGCACGATGCCAGTGCTAGCGCCCGTCAGCCTTGCCCTCCGATTAGCAACGTCGCGGGGGTTGCGAGAACCTCATCTCGGCCACTAGCCAATGAGAAAGCGAAGTTGGACTCTTCAATTGGCAACGTTAAACATCAAATGGGGCGCATCAGCCACATCCAGTCTGTACCAATGACGTGGATCTATTGTGCCACTGACGGTGAGTGATTGAAAAATGAGTGCCACGGTAGGTTTGCTGACAGGGGTGCCACAATTAGACCTGGTGCATCACTCTACCACCCGGACCCTTGTTAGTGTGTGGACCTCTGTCCTGTCCGGACGCGATGTGGCTCCGCCCTCAACAAAATTGCCGGATCCGGTTCGATGACGGTGTTCGCTAGAATGTTTTCAGACAACAGGGCCTCAGATCTGCTGCAAGACGCGTACAAGCGCCGGAGTCGCCGGTGGACAACGGACGAAAGTAAAGGTCGGATTCGAGCCCTGGCTAGGACACTGAAGGACTCTCATGTGCAATGTTGGAGAGTGGGATCATCAACACCTCAGCAACGCCGCAGCTATGCAGCAATTAGGAACCTCGAAAGGCGAAACATCCAGAAGGCATCTTGAAATATCCGTCTAGGACTCTACCCGCCTCGGCGTTTCCCAAAATATGCGATGGATGCTGGTTTCCATTCGCAATATATGCCCTCGGCTCGAGGCTCGTATCTTCGACCGTCATGACAGACCGTCTCCACACACCGAATCTTATTCTTTCGACCAAAATATGGGATATTCAAATCAGCAATTCCATCGCCCTGCTGCGTTGCCTTGAATTTGAGGGATGACGACGATGACATGAGTTGAGAACATGGGCCTTGGAGACGCACTGCTGCGCCACTTGTTCCAACCGGGACTAGAAGCAAGTACTGTGACATCCCAGCGTCATGTTGGAGATGCATAAACGCAGGTCTCTGTACTTTCCAGACATTCTGTAAGTTGGTATGAGCAATTGAAGCGAGAAAGCAGCCCTGACTAAGAATGCATATTATTAATAGTGCCGAGGCTTAATGGCATCAATTAAGCACTGCAACCTTAGGATTCCAGGCAATGTCCCATGTCGTATTCATCTGCCACTCGCCTAACGAGTCCTGCCTTGCTGCAGCCCTACCAACTCCTCTCTTGTGTGCCCTTTCGAACTCTCCCGTCCGTTCAAGGAGCCAGCCAACAAATCCACTCCAAGTCACCTTAACGTTTGGGGCCAGAAAAACAAGCAGACTCCATCCAAGTTCCAACTCCCGCCTTAGCCATTCCGGGGCCCATTCCGAAGCCTGCAAGACCACCGAAAGTAGTAGTGTGCGTTGTATAGTATTAATCCAGGCCATTTCATTAGAAACAGACCCATTGACAAAGTACGCCGTTTGAGCCGGTTCCCGCTGATCCTCCAACTCTCTCCCGACAGTCGGGACCTTTCGATCCTCCCGGCAAATCAGGTCGCACACACAATCCGACGCCCATTCCTTCCGCGATTGGGGCGTCATCTTACCTTGTCTGGGCAAATCCTTCATCCCACCGTTACCAGAGACTTGCCCTCTCCACTGGATCGTCCACCCCCACTATCTTCAAGCGAACCCTGGAACTTGTGATCCCTCATCAACTCCGTCTGGGCGGAACCTTACTTTTGGAAACCCCTCATAGCATTTATTCATACGCCTTTGCCGTCCGTTGCTCCTCCTCCTGCAACGTATCATATTGGCAAGGCTACCAAGAGAAACGGGCCGAACCTGTTAATATTGCACTTATACCGCCACTTCGCAAACCTCCATCCACCAGTATCAATATTGCCTTAACCAACATCTTTTGCCGCCCACGCCCTTGTTCCCCCTCCATCACGAAACCAAGGGACCTTCTATATGCCAGCTCCGCTTGGTAATACTGCGAATTGTATTAGGATTGATACATTGTCTTCTTCTTCTTGACAGTTCTATGTCGCCTTTTACGCCACTGGAATATTACAAATTTCCGGCCCCCAACGCCTCCGGAGTCCCCTCGAGGAAACATCTGACACGTCCGAGATGCAATAGCACTCTCTTCTCACCCTCTCACCAAGCCCTCTTCCAAACATCAGAGACGCCGGGTGGACAAGGGAAGGCTATCGCCTCGTAAATCTTGACTAAAGTTTTGACAAATTAATATTCCCCGATAATGCCTTGCGGGATTCTTGGAAATGCCATCCCCAAGCCTCGGTCAACACGACGTCCGCGTTTACCACCCCCCTCCCTTCTTAAGAAAGAACAGAAAAGAAGCAGACTTTCGGTTCATTGCTGAACATGGTATACCGATAAGAAATTTAGAAGCAACACGCCCCCCTTTACAATAAATCTTCTTTTTCGTCCCTTTGCATCTCTTCTGCTGCCTGCCCGGCCCTAACTCTCACACCTGCTGACCTCAGTCCACCATCGACCTCGCCATCGCCATCGCCCTCGCCATCGCCATCGCCCTCGCCAGCGCGACGTTCATAGTTCCCTGTCTTCCCCGCCCTCTTCCTCTCCTTCGTTTCCTTTCCATAAATCTCGTAGACCAGGGAATCAGGGAAAGACTCTACAAAGGTATATCTCTCTCGGTGAAGCCCGGAAAAGGAACCAGGAACGAGAGCGGAAGGCGAAGGCAAAGCCCCCTTCACGCTCGTAAGCTTGCTAAGCGCACGTGGTTCATCATCAGCCACACTTTTTTTTTCTTGCTGTTCATTGAGTCCTCTTTTATTTCCGGCAATCGCTCCAGACCGGTTATCCCTCCCGTTGAACATTTACGAGTGATGGAGGGGAGAGAAAAAGAGAGGCTGCAGTCAGAAAACCAAAGGGCGTCGAATCGAAACCCGAATTCCGTTTCATAGATGGGGTAGAGACAGCTCTTCCCGGAATGGACTAAGACTTGGAAATAATATTTCAATATTGGAATTAACTCGCTCTTCGCCACATCGGATTACACCATTGAGCTTTCACACAGCAAGGAGGTTGACAGGGCTTGGAGGGGAATGGCGTGGATCAAATCCTACTGCTCGGGCTTTGTCGCAACACCGGCGGTGGTCGCAAGAGGGGCCGAATTTAGGAATCGCCGGTCGTTCCGATCACTTCCGGATATCTCGGCTTCTCTTTTCTAAATCGCAAGCTAAATCGCAAGCCTCGCCCACTACTACTTCTACCATTGTCCAAGAATAGAATCGATAAACTAGATCGTCAAAGATACGGTCTGTCTCAAGCTGTAATTATTTTTTGGATCTCGACTGGCAGAAAAAACCACCGTTACTACTTCTTCATTGACGTGTTTTGCATGTTTGTAAATAGGTCTATATGGATATAACGTGTGTAAGTCGTCTTCAGCGTGTTCCATGCTCCAGAAAAGGAAGAAAAAAAAAAAAAGAAGACAAAACACCGAGAACTGCCCCAATCGGAACCACAGGCTTCTCCCCCAGGCTAACGCCAATTAGTCCTCAATTTCCCTTCAATTGTCTTGATAGGGACTATCCTCCCCCGGTGTCTTGCTTGGAGATCCTTCAATGACTACAACAGGAAGCACAAGGAAACAAAAAAAGAAAACAATTCCATGTTCCGGTTGGTATATGTAACACCAGAGAGCCTTGCCTCGATTGAAGGAAACAGAAAAGGGTCTTGATGAAGTCCGAAATGAAAATTAAAAAGAGGGAGAGACAGTATATGGGAGGGCAAGAAGTAATAGACTGAGAATATAATAATATAAAACAGAATCGAAAAGTATCCGTGAGAGTGTGAAGAAAAAGCAAAGCCGGGTCCAACAGTCACCTATCGCCAAGCCCTCCTTTCTTGCTCGCCATTGAGGAATGAACTGTAATAGAATTCATTTCAAGTGCAAGAAGCTCGTGATAGCTCACCGCAACACCCCATTCACCAACATGCTGTGCCTTGCCGAGTACTCCATTTGAATGATATAGCCTTCATCATGCGTGAAACATACAGATGCCCATGTTAGGTCAGATGCGACTTTTGCTCATAAACTCATTGCCGGCGGTTCATGGCAGCCGTGGCTCCCGCCGAGGCCAAGTCTTGCTTGGAACTAACACTTCGACCAGCCGCTCGGGGGAGGTTGCTCGTGCCGAGAGTAGTGCCGCCACCAGCCCCGGTGCTGGTCCGCTTGGCTGGGCCTCCCACAACCGACCCGTTGGCGGTGGCACCCGACGTTCGGCGAGACACAGTTGACAACGCCTTGTGTGGGCTCATTCCGGCGGTGTCCCGCGTCCTCGTCGAGCCGCTGTGCCGATAGCTGGTAGGTGGGTCAGGAAGCGGACGGGCGCCGCCGGAGAGGGTGTTACTGCCCCGTTTCGCAGGGGAATAATCCCTGGTTGGAATGCGGGGAATTGATGCCTTGTGGCCCGTGATAAACTCGTGTCGGATTGCCTCCTCGGGTTTCATCCGCCGATCGGGATCCCATCGGAGACAACGCGCGATAAAGTCTAGGAACGGCTCATCGTCACACTTAAGGACCTGTTGCAGCGTCTTCGAAGAGGGGCGTCGTCTCTTGCCCTTTGACGAAACCGTCAACCGCGGCTTGCCCATCGAGTCGAAGAAAAACTTCTTCCGGGTACTCTTCTCGATAAGATGTTTCTCCGGGGGACCAAAAACTTCCATGATGCAAGCAAGCTGCTCGCCCTCATTTTCGCCAGGGAAAATAGGTACGCCAGTGTAAAGCTCCGCGAGAATGCAGCCTAGACTCCACATGTCGATAGGCAGGCCGTACGTCATGCCGAGGATAACTTCCGGGGAGCGATAGAAACGGGATTGGATATAGGTGTATACCTTTTCGCTTTCGAAGCAGCTAGAACCGAAATCGATGACCTTGATTTCGGTGTACATAGGATGACGGAGGAGGATGTTTTCGGGTTTCAAATCACAATGGATGACTCTATGCTGCTTGAGAAGGTTAAGAGAGCTGAGGAGCTGTTTCGTAAATCGTCTGATGAGTTTAAGCGAAAAGCCCCTAAACGCATTCGCCTTGATAAACTCATAGAGATTCATATCCAGCAGCTCGGTAGAGAGACAAAGATGGCCACGGAAGTAGAAGTGGTCGGTAAAGTGTACCAAGCTGTACTTGTTGTCGGGGTCCTAACCGTCGGTCTCGTCAGAAATTGGTTACACATGAAATACAAAGTATATGTTGATAGGGCCGGCCTTTGACTATCAAAGAAAGTACTCACCCATTCGCGAAGCTTCTTCAGGATATTGACCTCGACAAGAGCCTGTTGATGGAATCGCTTCTTGTTACGAATAATCTTGACCGCGACAAGGGCTCCTTTGCAATGGTCAATACACCGGACAACTTGGCCGAAGCTTCCTTTTCCGAGGACATCAATGATCTCGTAGCGGTAGGCGAGATGATCTCCGGGCACAATCGTGTAATCTCCACGATCATCGTCGTAACCAAAATTGGGCTTCTGCGAATGCAAGTCCCCAACCACCTTACGGGCATTTTGGGTACCACAGAAATACACGTCCGGGTAGTCGACAATCTCTCCCCGCTCGTAGACGTTCAACATAGCAATGCGGATAGCTTCGTGAGGGTCCACACGCTCCTTTGGTGTTGCACGCTTCCTTAGAGCATCCAAAGTTCGCGCAGCGATCTCGGTTTCCTTGCGCCGGCTTCCGAGTTTTCGCATCTCCTCCTCCGCAATGAGGTCGTCTTTGTCGAGCTCCGCAGTCCACACATTAGGCTGTCTCATCGCGGCGGTAGATGGCTTAGGCTTGAGGATCTTTTGCATGACGGAGGAGTTCCGGGAGAGAGTTAGGCGCTCGGTAGACATATCGTTGATAGGAATCTTAACAGACACAGATTGGGTATTGGCGCCCCAGGTATCCACCCTTGTCCGGTCCACAGATACGTAAGTATTGAGGCTGGAAGTAGAGCTCTTTCGACGTCGAGAATCGAGATAGTTTCCAGAGGCCTTGGCGGATGGGGTCGGGCTAGGCGGCTTGCTGGTACTTCCGAAATTCGCCATGATGGCAGAGGCGGGGATACGGGGTGGCGGCATGCTTTCTTGTCTAGTGTTGTACTCGGGAGGCTTCTCAACAAGGCCGGGGGGAAGGGCGATATGACCCTTGGAAGTGCCCCTCTTCCACGACGACAAGCTTAGCTTCCTCCTCAACGCACTGATCGAGGATGGAGTGGGTGGCTCTTCAGGGCTCGATTGTGCTGGAGACTTCGCAGTAGACTTGACCGAGGGCGGGCGGCTTGATTTAGAGGACGCTTTCGCTTCAAAGAGGGACTCATTAATGGTCGCAAAGTCGGTGCCCGTCTTTGAGCGCTTAAGCGGCATATGTTCTCCGCCGCCCTGCGGGACCGACGAGGACAAGAAAGGTGACATGCTCGGCTTTCTACTCGATCTTGGAGACACGACGGCGGACAAAGACTCAGAAGAGCTTCCGGGATTCATACCGTTAGAGCTGTCGGTACGCATAGGCTGGATGGAACTACTGCTCCTCAAGGAAGGGAGGTCCACTTTCTCAGAGCGATGTCTTGAGAAAAACGACGTCTTTGATGCCGTCATGGGAGTTGTGGGTGTCTTGGGAATCATCTTAGACGGAGGCGGGCTGCTTAGGTCCCGATCTGCTTGCTCCTGCTTCCTCTGAAGGGCGGCAATCTTCGCGGCTGTCGGTGTGCTGATTGGTCCAAGCACCATTGGAGGTAGGCGAAGAGGGGCCAAATTCTTCTTTGAATGCGCCAGCGTGTTCGACCTTACGTTGTTGGAGTCGCCATTTTGGGGATAGAACGACGACTTGCGGACACTACCCTTTCGCTGAACCCGGCTTGAGGTATCGGACTGAAGCACAATCGAAACTGTTCCAGTCGAGTTGCTGTTGATGCTGCTAGAGTCTTGCGCCAAGCTCGACTTTTTCTTCTCAATGAAATTTATATCTAGAGGAGGTTCCTTTGGTGATTCGTAAACTTTCGGAATGGCTGGGACGGGAGGGACATCCTCGTCATCATCCGGGACCAGACTCTGGTTGACACTGAGTGGTTTAGGAGCCGGAAGACGAGATGACGCACCGGGCTGAGGGACTCTCGGTTGCAAGGACCCGGTGGATGTTCTAACCGTGTTATAACTGTTGTTGGACCCAACCGAGAGGCCGGAGCTGTAGGACTTCCTATTAACATCCGGGGTCGTTCGGGAAGATGAAGGTGTCGCAGTTGCTTTCCGAGGCAACATCGAAGGAGATCGGGAGGAAGGTCGAAGATCTGCGGCTGTGCGATGTTGAGCCCCATTACCGCCTTGCGTGGCGGTATGGTGCATCGACAGCCGCTTCATACGACGCGTATCCGTTGGGCTAATCGTTCGAGCACCAAGTCCGGTTAGATGAGAGGGCGACGGCATACCGGGCATAACCGACACCCTCTTGTTAGTTTGCAGGTTAATCGCTCCTTTAGGCGGAACGCGAGGCGATCGCGCTGCGATGGATGCCGCCCGAGTATTGTCCACAAGCGTAGAACTGTTGGGAGGGTTGTAATTCGGTCGTGTCGTAGATTGGAAGGATCGGGCTTTTGACGCTCGGGTGGCAGCGGTCAGATGACTTGATACTCCAGCAAAGGAAGCGGAAGTACTGGTATCGATAGACGATCTTGCCGAGTCAGTGGTAGTAGTAGTGGTCGTGACGGTGGCGGTGCGGTCAGTATTGGAAGCGAGACTTGGGCGCCTCCGATGGGCCGTCGCACGCGCTCCATAATCAGAGTCGATAATACCGGGTCCAATAGATTTCCTGGGAGGCTTAACAATGTTGCTATTTGAGACGGGAGGATAGTGGCTCTGGCGACGAGGACGCATCGCTGCTGGAGCGGTCGGTGCCTCATGAGCACCAGAGGGCGGCCTCGATGCCGAAGAAAATGTGGTGCCCTGCTTGCTGGAAGTGCTAGGCCTCCGTAATATAGACCCTGACCTCCCCGGACGCGTCGCAGTTGTCGTTGCCGTGGTTGTCGCCATGGAGGCGGCGGAGGATTGCGGAATGACGACCCGAGTGGTATTTCCACTCCGCGTCACATTGGATTTTTCGGGCATGTTGACGGAGTCTTCAATCTGGCTTGGTTCGAGGATGCTTCCCTGCCCAGTTGGTGACGGAAACTGGGCCAATTTGAAGTCTGTGGAGGCGGACTCAAGACTGCTTTGGAGGTCATCGAAGCTCACGGAGGGCAAGAAATCGAAGGAAGTGGTCGTGTCCCCTAAATCGTTCGAGGACGAAGGTTCGTTCCGCCGCAGGGAGAACAGCGTGTGAGAGCTGGCAGGCGCAGTGCTGAGCATTGGCACGTCGGGCAAGATGTGTCGAGACGGGTGATGCTGTGATAGGCCTGTCGGACCTCGAGAGCTAAATGGGAGGACGCAGGTTCGTTAGCAAGATGGAGCTCGGCTTGGGGTTGGTGGGCAGAAAAGCGCGGCTCCTCCCAGGTCCACGCTCAGCTCAAGACAGGAGTCGCTGCACCAATGACTCGGCCTGGCCATTGAGGCACCAGCAGAGACAAAGATCATAAGGGGGAAAACGAGAAGGAAAAAAAAGTATCGGACGAGAAATAACCATACCGTCGAGTTGGTGATTGATTTGCTGGTCGTGGTCCAGCTGGCCCTTTGTGCTCCCTGATCATAGGAAATACTTCGCGAGGGTGGTAAAAGGAAAGGATGGGAGAGCCAGCCAATGTGTACCAGGCGAATAATCACTTGTCTCCGAGATGTTTCGTTCGCCGTGGCAAGGCTCAGTCCTTGTCAGGGATCTGAGAATATCCAGAGGCTACCTCATTCCGGGGGGATGAGAAACGCGCAGGAGACGAGAAAACAGGGAGAATCGATGGTTCGAAGACCCTTCCCAAAGCGGATGCGTGTGCGCAGAAGGGGCTCGTCGCAGGAAGCGTCGTTCGTTTATTTTCTCGTCACGACCTGGCTCCGCGTAGGGGGTTGCCGGGGGATGGTCGTGAGGAATGGATGAAAGAGAGCCGTGCTTGTTTTGTTCCAACTCTCAAAAGGGAGGGAGCGGATTGAGAGAAGATGCGAAGCGAGGCAGGTATAGGTGAGTCGGTTACTGGCATCGAAAGGGACCTTCCACTGGATCCATCGGTGGTGTGCTACTCCCCATGTACTTTCCTCTAGAGGTTGATCGGACGGTTAGGTAAGGCGTGGTACGAAAGTACATAATTACTCATATAAATATGTAAGATAGACAAGGTATACACCTGCCAAGTTACATCAATAAAGTTGACTAAAATTTGGGCGAAATGTTACTCAAGGTCACACAGTCACCAATCCCCCATAAACCTACAATTGCAAGGTTCAACGTTACCCACAGACCACATTTGGTTAGGGGCTTGAAAACAATCCCAACGTGAACTCGAAGCGGTTTTCAGGGAGAGGCCAGAGACTATTTCCTCGTGCTAAACAATGTTGAGCCTGTCTGCATAGAGCGAGCGGCGCCAGGCGATGCTGTGTTGTGTTGCTTGTGTTGTCCCGTCCACTGTGTCCATTTCAGTTCATAGAAGCGGGTTACTCGCACAGCTCACAAGATGGACATCGCGACGGGTGCTATACACTAGACTTCGGAATAGAATACTGTACACTGCCAGTCACTGTCTCCCTGCACCGTTGGATATTACGGTTTTATCTTCCCCGTTACCGATGACCCGCGGGTGAACCCAAACCCGCTCTATAGTTTGTCGTTAGTTTTTGCCCCTTTCCATGTCGTCTACGTAAAACGCCAGGGAAGCCCTTCCTCCTCCTGAATACTCACTTAATTCCCGACTTATTAGGCTCCCAGCATCACAAAGGCACATTTCTAGTTTAGATATATTGCCTCAAAGTTCCGTCCGTAAAACCCAAATTATCTGCTGAGAACGTACACTGTACGATACCAACGTACTTCGAATACTTCATGCACAGAAGCAATTGCTTCGGGGGAAAGAAAGGGGGGGGGGGTTAATCTGACGGAGGTAAGGTGAGGCGATGGAGCCTTTTGACCGAGACTCGATCTCCTCTCCCTCAAGCCCCCGATTGATTGCATGATGTATTTGATCATGGGCGCTTTATTGCCAGTCCTGATATCTGCCCCCATCGCATATTCATCGGTTCTCTGGGTCACGGCGAGAAAGGCTATTTAACTCGTAATTCCAGCCGCCTTCATACATCGTGTGAACCACCGAAGCAGTCACTTGATACTTCAGAAATGCCCGAGTCTGACAAGTTTTCCAAGACTCGTTTCTGTTAGAACTCAGACTCCCCGGATCCACGTCGGACTGTCAAGTCCAAATGTCTCAACGCGTCTTACTGTCATGCCCATCTCTGGATACCAGCATCAGACAGACTACTGAGACATCAGGCATATTTTCCACGTTCACACGCAAATTTTAATCGTGCGTCCCCTTGGGCAATTGCCAAGAGGATGTACGCAGTGCTCTCATACTTGTGAGACTCCCTCGAGCTGGTCGAGCTCGACCTGACCGTTTCTAACTCAACGAGGAAGTCGAGGTGCATGGCATATGCAAGGCACATTGCCGGTCCATTCTCTTTGGAGGAGAAAACCAGTCATTTTATGTATTAAATCCCCCTTGGAAATGGCCAATTTGGACAAGAAAAAAAAAGGGTTCCACACCACCGTTCAAAGACAAAGACCATCGTCGACTCGACTTCCAACCGCATCCTTCATCCTTTCAGTCTCCAGCCCTGACGCGATAAACCCGGGGTGCCTAGGCATATGGTGGCGTCAAGATTGCGATATTTGGCGGAGGGAACTTGTTATGAAACAAGTCAACTGGAGAACCTGCAACTCCAATCTACCATTTTTTTTCATCCCACACTCCACTGTCCACAACCAATCGCTTTGGTGGAGTTCCTGGCAACCAACCAGTCCCCGTACCTTAAAGCTCTGAAAAGGGCAAGATCAAAACAATCCAAAAAAAATTGGCCACGCCTCTGACAGGCACCTTATATTACCGAGGACGGTAGGAGTAACAACAATGGCAAAATGGTGCTATTGGATGTTGGCATGTTGCCCACGACGTCTTCCGAGCAACCGTCGTTCCGCGTCTCTCAAGTTCATGCAGTTCACTTTCTGTCATTGGACTGGAATGCAGCTCGTTCACCAGGACGCCCGGCAGATTTGCCAACTGTAGCAGGTTGCACTCTGGCACATCTTAATATTCATGCGCCAGAATCCCGGAAGAGCCACCTGAAATGTTGATCTCTCTTCCCATCGTATCCCAAAGCCATGCATTCCTTGTATGTCAATGTTTACAAAAATCGTGGTCGTCCTGTCAGCCTGACATTATTTTCCGGTCCACTGGTGGGATGCATTACCGACGAAACCTACGCCCCATATAGGTCTTGCGTGTCACCCAATGCAGTGTAAACTGCCTGGGAGTCTCGTCGAACTGCAAGTCCAGCCGACATGATCGGGATAAGAAATTTGGAGCACAGGCCACGATGGCGGTAAGGACACAATGAACATCTGAACATTTCAAGCTTGTCTTGGCAATGGGCGCCTTGTCGAGCTTTTTGAAATTCTCACGAGAACATTAGAACCCTTCTTGCAGCAACCATCTCGGCATATCAAGCACATTCCATCATCGTGCATCAGTATGGAAGGAAGGGTGGGAGGGAGATTAAGGCGGTCCGAAGCCATCTGCACCCTCCACGCTTCCCGCCCGGACAGGCGGTAATTACAAGTACGCTGGTGTTACGAACGAGCGCCTCGATCGAGTCATGCCGCCATCCATCTCTCCCCATATCCCACATATTTGAAAGGGCCAGATCAAGACCTGGGACGTTTTTAGGCGGGGGGTGTAAGTAATTATGTCCAAGATATCATCATTGCATCATTGGAAGGTCGAGGACAGTTCTAGCACGGTAATTTTATCTACACAGTATTATCAGTGTTCCCTTCTCACTTCTCACTCGTACATGAGTAGGATGGGTTGGTCCTTCCCCATCCTCGTGCCACCAGGAAATTATTAGCATGTGATCGACATTAGGCACTGTATGATGCAAACCAAGCTGGAAGTCAAGTCGCCAGCCTCAACTCCAGCTCCACCAGCCTCGGTTTTCATCACCTTCATGGGCATCCTATCCTAGTTCACCTACTAATACACCTGCCTCAACTTTATCAACTACGAGAAGATTGCTTACAGACCTTGAACGCCACGAATATTGCTAGGCCCACCGGACGAGTACGGCGGGGTCTTCCATCATCATTCACCCAATCTCCGAAGCCCCATCCACAGGAAGCCGCCTTGCCTTTCGATGCGCCGAAGCCAAGATATGTATGTCACCTCAGACGCCGACTAGACAGGCCAGCCTTCCTGTAGACCTCGTCTCGTGTCGCCAGAATTACTCCATGAAACAACGAGAACGATCGCTCTAGCTTTCCGCTGCTTCCACCCCCTCCCTATCCCTGGGGTGACTAGACTGCCCACCATGGATGAATACACCACGAACATCTTCGTTAATGACGATACAATTCCCGCCGCCGATGGTGCTACCTCCGACCATGAAGACCCTCAAAATTCGGACACGGAACAGCATCCACCCTCATCATCCCGAGGAATACGCGGTCGCGTAGCCGCTCTTCGCGACAAGGCTGCCATACAAGACCGCCTTCTCGAGAAGTAAGTCGCTCTTCATTCAGGCCCAGGTTCGACACCGCGTTACTAACCTACGCATTATTCAGGTTGCTACAGCAAGTAATACCACCGGATGATGATGGCAACGCTTCGATCCTTAACTACCCTTCGGGCCCGGCCCAAGCGGAGCGCCCAAACTTCAACATCACAACCATGTCCAACAACTTCCGTCGCTTCAATGCTCGTATTGGAGTTGTGTTCAAATTCCAGGGTCGAGTCGGCCGTATCCTCACATGGCGACGATATTCCCATACTTTATCATTGCTAGGAGTGTATACATTTGTCTGCCTTGATCCATATCTTCTCTCCGTCTTACCTCTAGCCATCCTTATCGTCGGCGTCCTAATCCCCTCGTTCCTAACCAGGCATCCTGCCGCGCCTAAGCCGGCGCGGCCCTCTACGGAACAGACTATTGCCTACTCCCCGCGTGGACCGCCCCTCGCTCCGGCGATGACTGTCAAGCCCGTGAAGGAACTGAGCCGTGACTTCTTCAGCAACATGCGAGACCTCCAAAACTCGATGGACGACTTCAGTCAAGCCCATGATCAGATTATCGCTACCATCGTGCCACTGACAAACTTTTCCAACGAAGCTCTTTCATCCGCCCTGTTCCTAGGTCTCTTTTTGGGCTCTATTACTATGAGTATAGCAGCTCACCTGCTGCCCTGGAGAGCAATCTTCCTCTTGGTTGGCTGGGCCGTGGTCGGCATGGGTCACCCCGCCGTCTCGCGCATTCTGGCATCCATGCAAAAGACACATGTCGAGCCGCAGGTTGAGAAGACCCGCAGCTTCCTTGACACGTGGATTGCCAACGACATCATCCTCGACACCGCCCCCGAGACCCGCGAGGTCGAGATCTTTGAGCTCCAGCGCATGTCGTCCGCTGGTGAATGGGAACCCTGGCTCTTCTCCCCGTCGCCCTACGACCCGCTCTCCTACCACCGCCTTGCAGGGGAACGGCCCCGCGGAACGCGTTTCTTCGAGGACGTCTCCGCTCCCGAAGGCTGGGAGTGGAGCGAAAAAAAGTGGGCGCTGGATCTCTGGAGCCGAGAGTGGGTTGAGGAGCGCATCATTACGGGTGTGGAGGTCGAGACTGAGGGGGAGCGTTGGGTGTACGATATTTATGATGAAAATGAGGCGCGCACGGGGGTTATTGATCACACCGAGTCTCCTGGGAGGCACCTCGCCGTACCCCAAACTAGTTGGGAGGAAAGTCTTGACGGTATGGGGCGGAGGGGTGGGTGGCGAAGGAGGAGGTGGGTGAGGCTAGTGAAGAGGAAGACTACCACTGGAACGACTTAAATGGATTGTGCTGTCACAGCGGTGGGAACCTGGGGAAGAATTAGCTGTTACGAGTGATGATAATATTCTTTATGATGGTCGAATACATGAATTATTAGACTTCCTCTCCCAACATCCCAGTGAATAAGAGCGTTGCCAAGAATACGGGTTGGCACGTTCATGCGATCGTATCCTGCGTGGATTGATTATCCGGAGATCCCTCCCCACCGCTATTTAGGCCAGGGCCCCGAGACATGAAAATCTTATCGATTGTCTTTTGGACATCCCCGTGGATATTCGTCCATTCGACAGCAGTGAGCTGCCAGAAGAAAGCCTTGCTGCTGAATATCGTACTGGTACAGCCTCAAACTGCGGATGTAGACACGGCCTTGAGGTTATCGATGGCCTCGACTGGTGTAGGGAACGGCTAATGGAGGGCAAATATATCGGCAACGTCTCCCTAATTCACCTCGCCGTGTAAAGAGCCTTAGGTATTGATGAGAAGCCGTGCTTGCTAAAGCTTGAACAGGCAGCTTGTCGATAGAACCACTTTGAGCTGTTGGTATGGATTGATCAATGTTTGTAAGACTCGAAAACTCTTGATATTGCTATTACTAGAATGAATAAGTTCAACGAAAACGACACCGGGGAGTAAATATGCCAGAAGAAGGGTTCCATTAAATCCGAAAGATATGGGGATGATCACCCTTCCGCTGCTTTGCCACCTAAGCCAAGCCGACTGGAGGAACTTGAGCATTGTGCATTGTTAGCAAAACCTGAACGAGTTTCAATCATGATATCCCTTTATACAAGGCCATCGAGATATCGCGACTACTTTCCGCCACATGAAGAAGGATGTAGTAGAATTTCCACTCCAAGAAGGCGAGGATTGAGTATTCCGGAATCGGTTTTCCCATGCGAGCCAGACTCTGCCTGGCACAAGACGTTGAACGAAGTGCTATGATTTCAGCTGGAACTCATACATGGCCTTTAGTAATACCTCAATACATTGACAGAGAGGCTCAATATCGTTGGAAATACAACATTTTCCCCGCGCCGGCCTCCACCAAAGGCGGCTGGAAGCGAGGTAACGGCCCGCAAAGCGGAGCCGCATTGCTTCCGCTTCTTACGAAGTACAGTGATCAAGCTTAAAGGAGACCGCCAGAAAAGAACAAAAGAAGCCGTATATTGAGGTATCTTCCAAGAAAAGCGCCCAACTTCATAGCCGAAAGCAAACCGTAATGTACATGCGTTCATCGCAAGATCTCATCGTATGGCGGAGCGTTCCCAGTCGTTCATGCTCCATGCATATAGGAGAAAGAGGGGGAAACAGACCCCGAGTTGCCAAAATCGTCTGAATATGGCTCCTATTGGAAAGAGGGGAAAAGAAAAACAAAAGACGCCCCAAAATGGTGACCCTAAAACGATGCACTCTAATCATAAAAATGTGCAGACCAAGCGGGAATATCAACTTCCCAAACCATCCCTTTCCCCAGTATGAGCAGTGATGTATGATGATTCCTGTATTCACAGACTCCCGATCTCAAATAACCATCTTGTCCAAAATTTTCAATATGCCCTCCGTCTTACCGCGCCCATCATCGATTTCATCGACGAGCTTTCTCGCGCGTTCGATAAGCACGTTAACAACCCGACGGGTGTACTCAAAGCTGCCGGTTCGATCCATATAAGACACAGCGTAGCGCTTAACATCAGGGTCCGCGGTCTTTTGGCCCAAGATGTTGATGAGCTGCAGGTTGGAAGGATCGGAACGTATACTGTGGATGATGGGGAAGGAGAACTTTCCCTCAGTGAGGTCCTCGCAGAGGCCCTTGTTCTGGACATACTCTGGGGACGACAGGTTCATGTAGTCGTCGCGGATCTGGAATATGAGACCTATGAGGTTGACGAGGGGTACGCAGTCGACAAGGGAGCGTGACTCGGCCTGCATGAGCTTGATACCCAGGCGGAATAGCCCGCCCGTCTTGTTTCCGACCATCTCGAGGTAGTCCTCCTCGGTGGGGCAGGTAAGGGTGTCCCTCCAAAAGAGGTCCATGCCCTGGCCCCGGTGTAGGTGCAGCAGCTCCTCGGTGTACATAGAGATAGCTTTAGGGTTCTTGAGCTTCTGAAGCTCTTGTAGAGCGCAAAAGTATATGTAGTTTGCCGAGTTGATCGTTTGCGCCACGCCGAATATGTTGTGTGCCACGGGGAGGCCGCGCCGAAGCGAGGAGGAATCCTCTACGTCATCGATGAGGAGGGAGGCAGTGTGCAGCATGCCCACGACCTTGGTGATGATCTCGAGGCTCTCGGGGGGCACTTCGAGCCAAGCGTCGAGGGAGTTTATGAGCTGAGAGCGGAAATCTTTACCCGGGTGGGCGTAGAGGTAGTCGAAGGGCCCGCAGATGGCCTTCTCCTTCTCCTGCGACCAGGTCTTCTTCTTGGTGAAATCTAGATCTTCGTGGGCATAGCGCGAGGGGTCGGGTGGCGGGACGGGCTGCATGCTGACGTGGAAGGAGTTCGAGGCGATGGAGGGCTTGCGGCGTGCTCGCTGGGGCTGTGAGTGGGAAAGGGGCCACTCGGTGACGGCTTGAGCGGAGGCGACGCGAGTCGGGATCTGGAAAGGTTCGGCGGTGGTGGGTCGTAGGTGGCTGCCAGAGGCGACGTGGTGGTCGAGGGAGGAGCTTGCGCGGTGCCGGCCGTGGGAGGAGGTTCTCGGAGGGATCGGGTTGGGAGAATGTAAAAAGGAGGAAAAGATGTTCGAGTTTGTGACGGACATGGTCTTTTTGCCCTTTTTTTAGTTTTTAGTTATCTGTGCTTCCCGAGTTCCTTCTCCTTTTTTTTTCGCTGTTCGGCGTATTTTTGATCCTAGCTTGGTGGGCACACGCGGCTGACTGCGGGGGAAGGTACACTGCACTGGAAGCGTAGCGCAGTAAGGCTGGCGGTGTCTTATTAAAGTTTACGTTGTGACTCGTCGGATTTCAAGATTCTGCCTGCTGAGTGGAGCTCTAGGCTGCCATATACGACAATAAGTGGACAAGGATGAAGTTGCAGTAGTATGAGTAGTGGTCTCAGGTGGGAAATTTAACGTAAGAGAACTTGATGGCGACGGTGGGAGTGGTGATGCAGTAATAATCGTGGAGAGGTTCAACGACAGTTTAAGGACAGTTCAAGGGCAATGGACCAAGGACTAGGTTGGGGAGGATTGTTTCCGACAAGGCCGGGAACTCGAACCAAACTTCTTTCCTTTATATTCAGCAAGTTTTATGTGGCTGGCTCATACAGTTTAGACCTAATCCCTAGATCTCTACAAAGGAGCAAGGGGGGGATGAACAGTGACCACTTCAAGTTCGCCCCGCCATCAACCTTTTTTCACTTTTGGACTTTGTGCGGCCACTTAGGTTTCTAATTCAACCTCCTCTTCACTCATCACACGGACTTCTCTGAAAGCGGTGCAATGAGCGGTGGCTACCTTGATTTTGGTGGACTTCCGAGAGGCAAGGGGTACAACTGTAAGAACGCCCTCTCTGCTCCTGGACGACTTAGAGCCATCAATTGTGAAACCTGGTCAGCAAGGGGGCAGCATGGACATTCCACTCATTGAGACGGCTATCAACCAAACAACCTGGTGCTGATCTGGTTAGACCTGGGTAGTCCCGTTCCGAGCAGAAGACGGATGAATCGAGAATCAAAGCGCTTACCGAGAAACTTGTTTCCGAGGAAGGTGATGAAGCAGCATGGGACTTAGATGATGCTCGTGCTGGACAAAGGTGGCTCGCCTCGCTAAGGAACTAATGCTCCCAATCGCTGATGTCATAGGAACAATGTGCGAAGGACTAGCGTAAAGTAGTGCACTTGGTAAGAGGGAGTAATCATTGATAGGACTTGGACTTTGCATCTGGAATGCCGCCCCCACTACCCACAGGACGCAGGACTCAAACTTGGAACGAGCTGGGGAATGCGGGGTCCATTTCTCTCTGAAGTTTCCAACGTTGGCAGTGGACAAGGTTGGAAGAGGACCATTCTGGCATACTAATTCTGGCATACGGGCTCTGAGTGCTCACGGTCAAATGCTGGGAATCCCCAATCCGCCCCCAAGAGAGTCAAAATCGAGCACAGACGGAGGCCTGCCACTTGGTCTCTGTGCGACTTGATCTCTCGTGCTTCGTAGAATGACCTCTCTCAGGTAATAATCAGCATTGAGTGCTGCAGGAACTTGGAAGGGAGACAACCAAAATCACGTGCTACCCCACTAAAACTCACCGTTGCCTAGCGCCCTCAAACCCCTGCTTATCGATTGATGCTGTCCGAGTTTGTTTACTCAGGGCCTAATGCATCCACTTACGAGTCGCTGCGGCTTGGGACAGAAGTGAACCCATCTCAGCCCAAGACCCACCAACAGTGGCACAGAGTCTCAGGCCGGTTGCCCTGCCAGTGCCGTAGCACCTCCACAAAACAAATCTCACACCAGCTGACATGGGTCGCAAACTGAGATATTTGAAGATATGCGCCCATTTCGCGATAGCTTCACAAACCACCTTTTGTTCTCTCTCTCTCTCTCTCTCTCCTTCCTCGGAGCAGCGCCTTTTCCTTTCATAATTGATACCCTGGGGTTTTGTTTCTTATTTTCGCCCATCTTTGCTTTTTGTATTAATCTTAAGTTGCTCCATTTACTCTCCTTTGATCTCTTCCACGTCAATGCTATCACCTCTGCGATACACCATATTTAAGGATGCCATTGTCGCAATATTGAACGAACGTTTAGAAGTACACGATACTCAGTTGGATAGTCACATCTTTGAAGATCATAGATAAACATTACCAAGTTCCCGGGAACCTCTTCCACATCCATACCGTCCCTAGGAACTAGATCTTTATCTCCTCCCGCCTCGATTCCCTCACCTCTATATCACCCAGCATCCCCAAGCTTCGGACTCGATGGAGGCTCTTCTCTCTCTCGCATTCGACAACCTTTCCTCCTACGATGGCCCCAAGATCCGAAAGGGTCTGCGCCAAGTAGAGGGCCTCCTCGCGCAGATCTGCCTCTCGCCCCTGGACGGCGAGCGTGACAAGAGCGACTCCCCTCCCGCGTCGCCTTCTCCCCCCCAACGCAGAAAGACCCTCGCCGAAGTCTCCGATGATCCTGCTTTCCGCGAGTTCTTCAAACTCCAGGAGGGATTCGAGTGGAATGTGACTATGCGTCTCGTCAGCACTCTCGACAAGCTCATGGGTAGAGGCTACAGCGATGGCCATAACGACTTGCTGATTCTTGGAGCCTTGGAGCTCCTCCAAGGTGTTTTGTTACTCCACCCTCCCAGCAAGGCGCTCTTCTCCCGGGAGCAGAACATGAACGTAAGGCCATCTCTACCTTTCTCTCGCCCCATTAACCCAATCTTGGGCCTCCCCGCTCTCGCGCTGCTTGCTGACAAGCTCGTAACCTTCCAGCTTTTGCTTGACCTCCTGGAGCCGGTTAACTGCCCCGCCATCCAGCTGGCTACCGTCATCGTGCTTGTCACCACCTTCATCGACATGCCGCAAAACACCCGCACCTTCGAGGCTCTCGACGGCCTTCTCGCCGTCACATCCCTGTTCAAGTCCCGATCGACGACCCGAGAGGTAAAGGTCAAGGTCGTGGAGTTGCTCTACTTCTACCTCATGCCCGAAGTTCCCTCCATCCCCAAGGCCGGCGCCCGATCCTCCGTCCCGGCTATGTTGCAGCGCAGCCCCAGCAAGCTTGCCGGAGCCTTCGGAGGCGCCCTCGGCAACAAGAAGCACTCCGACGAGTACGAGAATACCCTGACCACCGAAGAGAAGCAGGAGCTGCTCAGTCGACACCTCAATAGCGTTGAGGATCTGGTTAAGGACCTGAGGACCTGCTCACTCTTTGGTGGCGCTCTCAGCTAGGTTGGTGCACAGCGATCCGAGAAGACTCGACTTCCGATCTGACCTCCCTACCATCTCTGTTTCCTCTCTCACCTTCATCTCTCACTCCATGATCCGCCTCCTTTTCTTCTTTCCGCTTTCCATCTCCACAACAAAAAGGTTCTCCTTTGCCGATCCTCTTTCGCATTTCGCCGTTGGCGTTTCGGGACATTGCATCGATCTCGAATACGCGTCCATGTCTCTCATGTACAACTAATACCGATGCGCACCGTTCTTTGAAGGCGTTTCCGACGTTTACTTTCCTTTTCTCTCTTGTCATTTTTCTTTAGGGTCACGGACTTCTAGGGTGGGAATCAATTCATTATGTGCATAGGCGTTAGAACATAGACAGGTCCTTTCAAAAAAAAAAACAATCCGATCCGTATTGCAAACTCCATCTTTCTTCAAATGTTACATATCATGGTGTCTTGGGCACTTTTGGTGCCGCTCCCGGTTCCGGCGACACAGGCGGTGAAACAACCTCCTCATTTACAGGGAACTCGGCGATCGGAACCTCGGAACCATACAGTTCCGCCCGGTTTTCCGTCGTCAGGGCCGTTGACGAGGGCAGGCTGTACGGCGACATGGGCACTGGAGATTCCAGCTCAGCCGGTATAGGAGACACGACGTTCCGCGAGTCAATCTCCACCGGCGCCGCAATGTCCCCGGGCGCGTGGGGCTGCGCCGGCACTCCCCGGCCCGGCGTCGGGGTCTCATGGGGACCATGTTCCGTAAACGGACCGGCTACCGGATCCGGTCCAGAGTAGTCTCGGGCAAGACCCGTAGCGCGTGGGTCGGGAGAGCCTACCTCCTCCATAAGGTCGTCATCCCCACTAGCCTGCGACATGGCGGCCGCGCGGGCACGTCGTCTTTTTGATAGCCACAGCCAGGTTAATCCCGCCGTGACAGCCGACACGCCAATGACGACACCAGCGCCAATCCCCGCCTTGGCTCCATCGGAGAGCGACGCTCCGCCATTTCCGTCGGGAACGGTCGATATGGACGGGCCTGGGGCGCAGACCGCCTCACCGCTTACGCTCGTGCATTCCATCCAGACGTTACAGCAGCCCTTCCCGTCGTCGCATTTCGTCTGGCTCGTGGTGCAGCCTTCGTCGAGGGCCGTTACTCTCGGAGAAGCGGCCGTGGTCTTTGTGGAGAGACAGATGGAGTTGGCGCAGTCGTGGTCATAGGGACAGCACTGGCCTCCCAGGGATGCTTCGCACCTGTAGAATGACTTGGAGGTGCAGGCTCGCGGGCAACAATATGGGACGATGGACGTGATTGTCGACCCGGCGCTCACTGTGGAAGTCGTCTGTGGGCAGTAGTAGGCGGTTGAACCGCAGGTGGAGTCGCAGTTGCGTTCGAGCGGACAGCAGCTCACTGTTGCGGAGGCGTGGTCGACGTAGCAGTATTTGTCATTGCCGCAGCAGGTATCCGCGAAGCCGATGTCGACGCCTGCAGTGAAAAGAAAAAAAGAGTTGGCTTGGTTTTCGACCCTCGCTTGGGTTGCTGGTTCACGGAGACTTACATTGATGTTGACCTTCTTGGCATTTGTTCGCCCTTTTGTATAGAGCGGGTTGAGGGGCACCGAGGTAGTACCTTGGCATGATGGTAGGTTCGGGGAATTCGATGTGGCCATACTCTTGTTGTGCCATGATGCCAATGGCCAGCCCGAGGAAGGCGAAGCGAGTTCGGGGCGGTGACATGACGCCCGATCTCCCGACGAGGTTCTTGAATGACGCTCAACTCACGAGAATGAATGTTCAAAGCCCAACTCAGACAGACGGATACGAAAAGGCGGAGATCCGATCAGTGATTTTGACAATTACCCTACTTCGTAATGTGTAAAGAGAACGATATGAAGAGCTCTCATGCCAGTCCTATCCAAGGAATCCCTAGTATCTTGGCCAGGAGAATGTACGCCGGGAGCGGTTGCGACTGAAGAGGTTATTCAAAATGATGGCTCATCGTGGAATAACGACTTGGATCCCATCAGATGGCCTAGTAAACGAGTGTGAAGGAGGCCCTAGTTTTAATCCGAATCGCAGCTGTTTATTCGCACCACTTGGCAACGTTCAATTGTCTTCGCGCTTGACGACGTCGGGATAACCACCAGGGGGCAGGCTCGCATTTGAGGAAATGAGTGAGGTTCTTTTGGGAGTTGAGAGGGACAAGAGGGACAAGAGGGACAAGGCTCTGGAGTTTCTCGGACCGAAAAGAACTTTTCGAAGGGAGTGCATTGCAATTCTACGACCTACTTCGTAATACAGATACATTTTGATTCAGTGCAACCTGTAATACAACAGGAACATACAAGAAGAGCTGCAAAGTCAACGCAGCCTGGCTGTCCTATCATGGTGAGGGAGACTCAGTGGTGGTATGTGGCTGGGATGACATTGCAGGGTGGGGGAAACCTCCCTTTTACAGTCGGCATTGCCTGGCAGTACTGGCTACCAGGGCGGGAAACGACCCGTTTTGGGTCAATACTGCGGTAAGATTCAATGTTGGTCCAACATTGTGGGCGGAAATGTGGGTGTCGAACCAGTCGTTGGATGCACGCCTTCAATTGTTCTGTTCTGATGGAATGAGATCAGTTAATGGTATGTACACTACGCTTCTTTGCCAGTGTTGGCAATGGGACAAGAGGTGGGGATAGAGTTGAATCGCGGGTTTCTGTAAATCCGAGGAATTGGAACCTCCATCAATCGAAACAGAGACCATCGTAATTCAATTCAATTGGTTAGTCTTCTTAGCTCAGTCGGTGGAGCGCTGGTCTCATAAACATGACCCGGAAGGGACACTACCGGGAGATCCAGAGGTCGAGGGTTCGATCCCCTCAGAGGGCAACACTTTTGTCTTTTAACCCTCCTTTGGGAATTACAGATTTTTTTTTTTTTCTTCTTTCAAATTTATTTATTTATTTATTTTTCTAACATTTTCCTTTGCCTGGAACCATGAGGCCAAAGGGGAGGCAGGGATAGCTGAACAATTTATTTCACATAAATATTGTACTACTTCGTATATAATTGTCAGCCCGGACTCGAAAGGACAAGACCCTGTGAAGGGAACACAGTGCTGACTCATCCGAGTCTGAGAGCGAAGGGAAATGCACCCTTGCTCCAAGCTCTCATCAATTGATATCAAACTTCTCGTCAAAAACAAAAGTTCAAGCTACGATAACAGCTCACATCACCACCCTTAATTCCGTTGATGTCAATTACACCTCCCATCCCAAATCCCACCGGCTTATATCCCCGATTCAGTCTTCACCAGAAAACAAAATGGCCGAGCCACCCCCAGAACCCGCAAACCCCCCTACAACCTCGGCGCCCGCCGCGCAACAGTCCACAACCTCCCGCCGCCCCTACACCAACATCTTTGCCGTCCCGGAGCCCATCCGCCGCCTCTTCAAGCGCTTTCCCCTCCGGACATATCCCGAAAACGGCCTTCCGGTACGCTGTGCGATAGCCCCGAAGGAGGTGCCCGTTCTCTTCGTCTTTGCCGATGACGAGGCTGCTAGGGCCGGCGCGCCGAGCTTCAACCCGACATGTCTAAAGTGGCAGGTAAAGTTGCCCTTTCTCTCCCTCCCTCCCCCTCCCAAATTCCCAATTACCATAAACAACATGCTGACATTGGACCTCTGAAATACAAAAGACATTACTTAAAATCTCCGGCATCCAATTCCACATCCACCCCTCCAACAACCACGCCTCCCCCACCGGCGCCCTCCCCTTCCTCCTCACCCCCTCCCAAACTACCATCCCAGCCTCGAAACTCTCCCTCTACGTCGCCACGCACGCAACGACCCCCGCGTCGACGACTCCCCCGCCACGCGCAGAAACCTACCTCTCCCTCCTCGACTCGGCCCTCCGCCCCGCCTACCTCTACGCCCTCTACCTCTCTAAATCGAACGCGCCTCTCCTCGCCTCCCTCTACCTCGACTCTTCCCTACCCCGCCCCGTCCGCGCTTCGATAACGCACACCCTTCGAACCGCCGCCGAAGAGGAAATCCTCACATCTACGCGCCGCCAGGCCCTCGACCCGCCTTACATCTACGCTGAAGCGGAGGCGGCGCTGGTTGCGTTGCGAGACGTCCTGGAGGCTTCGGAGACGGAGTGGTTCTTTGGAGAGAAGGAGACGACGGTGTTTGATGCCGCGGTATTTGCCTATACGAATGTTTTGCTGGATGAGAGGCTGGCGTGGGGCGATGCCAGGTTAACCGAGGTGGTGAGAGCGTTCGAGGCACTTGTTGCGCATAGGGAGAGGATTCTAGGGAGGTATTGGCCTGAATTGATATGAATGGGTGTTCGGTTTCGCGGATCTATGTAAAAGCAAACGGCGGGAAGGGGAGCATGTCTCTTTGAAAGACAATTCATTGAGGCAGCCGTGTTTTGATATCTTGTATAAATACTCTAATCATCTCACCGAAGGAGAACTGGCGGGCACACGATAGACTTGCAAACCATATACATGGACTGCATCAATGCTTTAGACATTTGAATGCCATTCGCTTAAGCGACAAGTAATTTCAGGGTCATAGAGAATATCATCAAATCAAGCTATTTACCTCACCAGTGACCAACCCTACCCGAATCTCAAGCGATGAAAAACCAGAAAACTTACAAACAATGGGGCTTTGAAAAAGGGGAGATGAAAAAAACTAAAAGCTCAGGATGGCACCATGAACACCATACTCAATGCATCCCCGGAACCCCTCGCGCTCCTCTCTAATTACCCGTCTTTCGAATAAAAAGAAAGATTCCATTCTAAACTCCCTCCCGTTCTGAACAACAATACAGATAAAAGGCCTATTTCTACCCTTCCCTCATAACCCCGGAATGTACCTGAGCTGATACACCTTGTTGACAAGTAGCCTCCTTCTTTGTAGGTGATATGAGGGAGTCAGGAGGAGAAAATCAGGAGCTGGAGGGCGAATTCATAGTATTCAAAATCAACTCTGGTTCCCCCATGATAATGCACATATCCCAACCGGGACGCTTCCGAGATTAAGCTAGTATGCTTGGCTGATCTTCAATACGCTGTCGGCGAGAGGTGGATGAAGAGCCGAGGTTGATCCTCATTCGCCATGGTAATAAGGATAGACGCCTTTAGAAAGCCCCCACCTTAGAATCGTGGCGTCTTTGGGATGGAACTGGTGATGTCCCGCATCGAGAAGAAGGCCCCTGGGCCACCGCCTTCACGAAGGTCTCGGACAAGGTTGCTTGTGTCCTCGTACAGCTTGGTCAGGTCGGCCCTCGAGGACTTTCCGAGAGACACTAGTCTAGTAGTTAGCAGCAGTTCTCACTAACAACCCTTTTTTATTCATCCAATGGAAGAATGGCACTTACTCAAGATCACCGAGTTCACCATTTCTGCTGTCGTCGCTCGGTTCTTGTTGTCTATGAGGTGTGCCACCTTGGGTTCCCCAAGAGGGTTGGGATACGCCATCAAAGACCATATATCTTCCAGAGTTTTCCCAATCTCCTTCCTGGGGTCATTCTGATACTCGGCTTGAAGTTGCTGTCCGTACTCAAGCATCTCTTGCTCGAGGTGATCGACTTGGTCCTTGAGGTTGACGGTGTCCTCAGTATCCATGGTCTCCCAGGCACCGCCTTCCACACCATTAGTGTCGAGCTCCATGGCTTGCAGGGTGTCTACTCCATTTGACTTCTTTCCCTCGTAGTGCAATCGTAGTTCAGCGGACCGCCTAACCATCTCTATAAACCTGCGACACTTCAAACGGAGATAGACTATCTCGTTCTCCACAAGGACATCGGGGTAGCAAGAATCTATGAGCCTTAGTGCCCGATCAATATCGCCCTCCAATATCGCTCGCCGTATCCCTATTGCAGGGTTAGCTCTCACATTCCGAAGTAGGCTAGGGGCAGTGATTGTGGCTTACGTTGCCTGTTGGTCGCATCCTCATCATCCTTAATGTTAACGACGTTCACAGTCTGGTTACCAATGGCGAGCGCCTGCCTCTCGGCTTGGATTTCTTCCGCGAATGCGCGAGCAGTTTCAACGTATCCGTCATGTTGGAGGAATTGAAGAACCTGGCATATCCGAAATTAGAAACACGACGCAAGATCACACCGGGGGGGAAGAAACGATACATACGAGTGACTGGATAAGATCCGTTTCATTTAGTGTGACGGGCTCGCCTCCTATGCGCACCTCAAGGGATGATGGGCTGCAGCCATGTGTTAGAGAAATTATGGGGTTAATCCGAGAGAATAGGGCAAACGAACCTCGTCTTCCAAATCTCATCATGAATCTTCCGTTTCTCGCCCTGAGATCCCACAGTTAGCATCGGACATATAAACAAAAATGGCAGAGGTGTTCTCCGTCTGAAGGGGGAAGCCAAAATCGGAAAAAATAAAAGGAAGCATGGAAATCGACATACCCTCATCATCGCATCTATATCAAACATGAACGGCGTTTGTCCAAAGTTGACTCTCACATGTTCCCCATACTTCTTTAAACCCACCATGGGATACAGCTCGCCCTTGATGTCCCGGAACGCCACACCTATTGTTCAATTAATAACCAGATCAGAGAAAATCGTACTTCCCGTAACTGATGATATGCATACCAAGGTCTTTGCCATTCTTCGTGAAGAAGATATAGCCAGTGTTAAAGTTGACGCCGCAACCAACGACGTCTCCTGTGGTGAACTTGGGTCCGTATTGCTTGCCGGAATTGGAACTAGCAAAGCACTTGCCGTCATCGCCGTGGTATCCCCAAGATTCCGATTCCCAACCAGGTGGTCTTGACAGCTGCGCATTCTTTGTGGAAAACCCAACTCCGATCGTAGTACTAAATTAATCCGGATATTAGCTAGGTCCTAGGCGGCATCGCGGGGTCGAGGGAATCCCCCCCTGAAAATGAAAGAAAGCGAGGGGCGGGAAGGAAGAGGGGCAGAGATAGAACTCACTCATCTCTCTTCCCATATGTAATCGTAACTTCGTAGTAGTATATGCCACATTCAGGAGGAATAGGATTATTTGCACGGACAGCCGCCGTCTCATACTCATGACCCTGCTTATGGGAAGTATATCGCACCTCGACCCCTTCGCCCATTATATCAATACCCTGATATTTATCCGTCTTGCTCCACCTTGTCGGGAGAGGGGGCACACTCGAGGGGTCATCCTGCGTTTCTGGTCTCTCGATAACGTCAAACGACGCCGACTCGGCCTGCGGCGGCGGCTTGCTATGTATGCTGCCGTTCGTCGTCGTCGAGGTGGCCAAAGCGGCGCCCCCCGCCTGGGGTTCCTGCGTTCTCGCGTCTCGGAGGGCTCTGAGTTTCGCCTGGTGGGCGTCTTGGAGCCTGTTTGCGTATGCGGTATCTTTAAGATAGGACGGGATGAAGAACCCGTCTTGTTGGAGGTAAGTGGGGGAGGTAAACATCTCAAAGGCCCGTGAGAGCAGGCCCAGTTGGGACTGGCGGCCGGTCGCCCCGGCCGCGGGGCGACTTGATACGCCATTCGACGTCGAGGTTGAGGTATATCTGTGGCTGTCCATGGCGTGGTTTCGTAGGGCGTTGTAGGATGCGTGGGCGGCGGAGGCGGGTGCGCCAGCGGTAGAGTCCGACGTCATGTCCAAGTCGTGCTGGAGAAGCTGGGAGAAAGCGTGGGTTCTGGCGGGATGGTTCAGGAAGGTGGTGCCTGGCAAGGGCGGAGAGGCGATCGAAGTGTAGGTGAAGCGCGGGGAGTTCCAAGAGTAGTCGGCAGTTAGGTCAGAGTCGGTTGGGTGAGGGTTCGTCATTATGAGGGGTCGTCTCGGAAGTTGCTAGGTGAGGTAGTTGGGGAAGGTCCCAACTGAAGCAACTGCCTTGACGAAGGTCTCATGCAGCTTCCTCACAATAAAACACCGGCTGTACGAGTTACTAGGCCGAGTATAGGGGAAAATCGGTCGAGAAATATCGTCGTAGAAGCAAAGGGCCAAAGCTATAGAGTAGAACGAAGCTTTGGCCGGATGGCGATATTGGCCAGCCAGAAGATAAGAGGTTGGTTCGCGGCTTAGTCAATTGGTGTGGAGGTGCTCATGTAGTTTACTCTCTACAAAGTGGTACACCCTGAGTGGCTCGGAATACTGGCTGGGCAGGTACAAGTTATAGTGTCGTTGCCCCCCATCTCAAGGCTTTGACTGTGTACCAGCGCCAGTATTATCAGCAAGAAACCAACATCGAGTAACAAGTTCAATGTTATCTCCAGTCCACCCTAGAGTTGCCCTTCATCTTAAATCCGGGACTGACGCAAATCCAGGCCTGTTGCGTCATGGAATCTCCAATGTTCTTCTTGCTCGGTTTATCCCTCTTAAAAACACAGCGCGTTCCATGAGTACAAGTCGCACCATGACGACCACAAACAGTCACTGGCGGACGGGAAACACGGTGCCTGGCAGTCCTGCCACCTCACCTGAACCTGTATTGTTCAGTCCCTCTGTTCATCCCGTCCGTCCATTCCATTCCCGCCAGAATAATAGCGTTAGTAATGGCCAAAGTGTCGCCACATTCTGGTTCCCCGCTCTTTTCCCGTTCGAGGTTAGATTTGATATCTTGGGAGCGGCTCCCTGACACCTGGCGCGACGCTGTCGGCCTGAACCAATAAGTTGATGTCAGTGGTTCCTCGTTGGGTGAGAAGTCCAGCTCACTCCCCGATGTGGGGGCTTCCTGACCATTCATCATGACTGCCAGGTCACGAGATCGAATCAAGAGCGACCAGCGCTCCTGTGACGGATTTAGTTCAGGCTTGCGAGGTAATTTGATGTTCATAAGCCAAGCCTAAGAGTTTCGTTGTTCATTGTTTCGCTGTTCATCATCTCTTGTGCGGTTGCATTAATTATGTTCGGTACCGACTGGCCCTTTCCATTCTGGTATTCACTTACAGCACTCCGAAATGCAACAGGTCGCAAACTTACAGTCATGATTCCTTGCAAGCGAGAACGAAGTATCACTTCTTGGACCAAAATAAATCACTCAAATATTATGTCACAACTTGTATCAGGATCTATTCGAAGAGCGGTGAAGTGTTTTCCAGCCCCTTTAGGTCAGGAATGATTTCAACACAGGGAAAGAAGGGAGAGAGTCCACGGTGCAACCAACCCCCTGACATGAAAATCAGCCAGCGTGACATACCGGGCAACTCCTGGTTGAGCAATTACGATCCCATCCTGAAATGTATCAGTCTCCCGATGCCTGATACCGAAGCTCAGACAACTCGGGTTATGAGCCAAGGGATGCGGGAAAATAATATCCGTAACTGAGGACGCCGACACATGTCACAGTCACGTGCTAGTTCCTTTAACGGCACCCAGTCTCGACAAGTCGATTACTTCAAAAGTGAACATCGGGTTCGAACCTGGTCCGGAAGGGCTAGATTGGCATATGAGATTGGAAAGATCAAAATTCGTACTATGGTCGTACGGCGTTATACGCCTTCCTATATTGACTAGCGCAAGCAATCTTTTCTCGCTGACATCCACAGATGATGATGTACTGACTGGTGAGGATCATCATCTCGCCTTGCATACTTTCAAGACACAGCAGAAAAAAAGACAATGGAACCCCCAGACCGAAAACCCGAACCTTGAAATACCCACTTCTATCGATTAAACTCCATTCAGAAAGACCAGAAACGATGAGAAGATACCAGGTGCAATGGACAGTGACAGGGCAAGGAAAAGAAAAAGAAAAAGGACAAAGCAGCTTTGTGTGTGATATAATACAGTCGTAATCCACCCTTCCGACATGACCGCTCCATTCCATAGCTTCTGTTGTGACAAAGACCCTTTCACGCGCCGTATTCCCATGCCTGGCCCGACTGCCGAAACGCCTAACCCAGCGGCAAACCCCAGTCGCCGAGGTATGTTTGAATGATGAAAACAAAGACAAATGAGAGAAGAAAAAAAAAGAAAAGAAAAGAAAAAAAAATCGATGCTCAGGCGACGAGCACGACAAATTATCGCGGTTGGGCCCAGCTTCGTTAAACGAAAATATACGCTGTGCAAGACCATCGCATCGCAACCAATATTCAAGAAACTCCAAGCCGCATCATGAAGCGGCGGCGATAGGAACCGGGGCGGGTGGTGAGCTGGCTGGCGCACTCTGCATCTCGACGTCTTGGCTACCTGTCCCATTCACGTTCTCGACGCCATTCGGGGTGCCATTGGTAACGCCATTGGGTGCCTTTTCGTCGGTCTTGCCGTCGCTCTTCTGCTCGGCCTTCCCGTTGGTTCCTTCCTTGTCCTTAACGCTGCCGCTTGTAGACGCGTCGGCGGATTCGCCTTCGGGCTTGGCTTCCTCGGGAACCGGCTTGGGAGGGGCCTTCCACCTATTGATACCCCAGGTAACGCCAGTAAAACTCTTGAGTTGAAAGGTTCCCTTGGTCCACTTTCGGCATGGCTTTCCGGATCGATCGAGAGCTCGTAAACCCGCGTTAATAGCGCCTTGACTCGCTTTCGGCCCGAGCTTGTGCGATGCGCCTCCGCGAGCGCCAGTGCCGGCATCGTCATCACTAGAGAAGGGTAAATGTTAGTGCATGCTCTCTGGTTTTGGGGCTGAGCAGGATCAGGATAACGTACAGCTTAGCCTTCTTCTTCGGGCCAGGCTTACCCCTAGATTTGGGTTCACCGTTAGTAGCAGCCGACCTCTTAGTGCCCTTCTTCCCCGGTGGTCCCATGGCCGAGGGTCCAGGAGTGCTAGGATTCGAGTCGGAAATGGTTTCTCCATTCACAGCTTGGACGGCAACAGGTTGGCTAGAGGCTGGTGCTGGGGATCCATTGGCTTCCGGCGTTTGTGTGTCTTGACCGTCTTTGGCTTCGGTAATGTCCTTATTGGAAGCAGCATCCTTCATGGGTGAGTCCACCTTCTCTTGCTCGTCGCTAAATAGTTCTCGTAGCTTTTCGGGAGATACCTTGAGAGTAACGGTGAGGCCACCCTTGCCTGATTTCCGAGCTGGTGCCATGACGACAGGATCGTGATTTATGTTGTTGAAGGTGGGGCGAGTTGAAAAAGGAGTGGACGAGAAGTTTGGCGCCGTCAACTACGCTTGTCGAAGTTGGCGACGCGAGGCTGAGGTTGTCGAATTTAGTCGCGAGAGGGAATGCGTGTTACAGAGACACGAGGACGAGCGTTTCCCCTTTAAACCCTGATTAGTTGTCGTAAAGGGTAGAGAGTCCCAAGCTGGAACCCCGTCAGAGTAGAATTGACGCCGCCCAAGGCTATACTAATAGACTAGGGGGTAAATTCGCTGATGTAAATCTCGCTTGCTCGTCGCGTGAGGCAAAAAGTAGATGGGGAGTTGGTTGACGATGTTTGGTAAAGATTTGGGAGAAAGTAGGAGATGATTAAAGATGGGAAGTTAAGTGGAAAGAATCGGTTCGTGGGGATTAAGGAAGATGTGGCGGCATTATTAGGAAAAGTTATTGTGGAGAGCGCGTTTTGGGTGCCGGAGAGGGAAGCTGGTGTCTAGCCTTTTTTATTATGGGGTGGAGGTGAGTACCGGTATTGTGCTCGGGTTGACTTGTACTTTTGGTGATGGTCGGTGATGGAATGACGATGATGGGGAGAAAAGGGAATGGGTTTGTCCAATGTTGGGATTGATGGGGTTATATGGGGATTACCCTTCGGGGAGTTTGGGGTCATGGTCTCATTTTCGTCGATTTTTTTTGTTGGCCGCAAGCCCAAAGTGGCAGAGGGCGAGGGCGTGGGCGTGGGACGGCGACAATAAAAGGGTGGTCTCCATTGCTCCTGGCTCAGTCTCGCTGCTCTGCCAAAATTTCCGACCAAGGGAGTGGTTTGGAAGTGCATCTCCTTGTTCCCCAGAAATTTCTAGGGGAAACAGTACGTGCACGGGCCGTGCCCGGCTCTTTCCGGGCGTGTCAGCAGCTGGATGCAGCTGGTGTGTAAGCTGATCTGCTTACAGATAGGAAGAGCCTGGCGATCCCAAGTCCAGCCTCATGATCAGTGGAGACATTTGTTATGGCCTAATGTTCAAGGCACAAAGTCTCTGTGTCAGGAAAACTCAGGTGAAGCACGTGAGGATCAGTCTTCGACCTCCAATCTATGAGTACCAGACCTGCGTCTTGACGAGACCGAGTATGATACCGCTGTTCACAAATGAAGTTTGGGGATTTTTACTGTAATGGGATCCTCACTTCCCTGAGATTGATACTTTATCGCCGATAAAAGCACGCAATTGTCTCCAGAGTCTCGGCTGAAGTCCACGTCCATATCCACCCCGAGCTTGAATGCTCATGCCCGAATCAACCTCCGCCTAGTTGTCGCGTAGGCTTTACGATGAAAGACCATACTCGACGTTGACAAAGGTCGAAGAATTTGCGTGCCTTACCAAGCTCCAGCAAAGAAGGGGAAGTCCGCTACAGCCAAATGAAAAGACGAAGAACATCGTTGAAACCGCGGAACAACCGTCCAGCTCACCGTCCAGCTCTTATTATTGACGAGAGGAAGACCTTCTGCGGGATGGTCGAATGATACAACTGCAATTTTATGGGTATCTAACTTCAGCCGTAGCCCGGGACACTTCGAACCCGGTGGTACAATGCGTATCTATAATCCACGCTGCCTGGCAACCGCCGTAAACCCCGACTGCTTGATCGCGTTGGCCAGCCGCGGCCACTGAACCAAGGTCGGATGGCGTTTGAGTAGCCCTTTACAACTTGAAGCTGCTAGGATTTGATGAGACGTCGCAAGTTGGGGAACACCGCTAGCGATATAGGCAACTGGATGAAAGGTATTGCTCGGCCGCGGGGTAAGATCCTAGGATCTCGTTGGAGGGAGACCATATCATGCCCTTTGCCCAACGGCCTGGCCCACTTAGCTCACTATTCTCCTATTCTCTCATGGTATCGATACTCTTACTTCCCGAATCCAAAATATGTGTAGCAGACAAGTCGGGATGAGTACGTGAGGACTTTCAACTCAGCATCGCAGCCTGGAAATGCTGCATCTCCAAGACGTGAGCTCAAACCCTTGTTGAAGTGTGGAACGTGCCCTATGTGAAAGCACGGGAGAAGCTCGAGACCTAATGTGCGGGCCTTGACCTAGATTTCTTGCAATTAATAGAACGTATATCCTGATATGACACCAACAGAATTCGCCGCAGCCCTTCCGATCCAAATTTCCAGATCCAGGCTATGGAAGGTGGTCGTCCCTAAAAGGCCGCAGCATTCTATACGAGCTGTCCCTTAGATGCCACGCCTTAGTCCTGGTGTGGGCCGCCGCTCCAATACCTTGGACCTCGTTTCCCATTTTCATATAATCTCTAATTATTGATAAAAGTCATTTTAACTTACTCCCCCATCTCTTCCAACAGACCTTCCCCACAAAATGGCTTTATCACATCCAGACGGATTCTCGGTGACATTGATGCCCAGATTCAACATCGGCCATCTGCATGGAAGGTCATGATTACAGCCATTGGTGCCAGCGTGGCCGCAATAGGCCCATGGCTGAAGAAGAGGCATCTATGTCAGAAGCATAGTGATTTCGGGAGACAGTGCATCTTCAACACTCAAGATCAGGTTCCACAATCCACTTGCTCTTGAACGTTCAACCACGATCTCAACGGCGTATTCACCTTCCACGTGCCTCTTCAGGGAAGTTCAGCTTCCCGTTCTTGCCGGTTGAGGGGGGATATCGGGCTAAATGGGCTCTGAGATATCCAGAGCATCAGCACCAACGAAGAACAATACAGCAGAGAATGGCAAGATAAGCTCAGCTGACAGTTCATATATTGATTCTAGACCCAACATAAGCTCCTCCTACCCCTGCTCTACTTCTCTGGATAGTCCCCAATCTCGCTCTTGGACTTCTCTTTTGCGTAAAAGCGATATACAAGCAATCCTTCTACTGAGCATGCCGGTCCCACCAGGGCTATACTCCAGATCTTAAACCCAAGTTCAAACCGTGAACCTACTCTTAAAGGACTTGAAGTCCTGCGTCTCAGAACTCTTCTAAGCTATCCTTTGGGAAACGATACAGGCCCGGAAGGCTTTGTGCCTCTTCATTTGGGAAAGTCCGTCCCGTTATCTACCCCTACCACGCCCCGGACCCGTCCATTTTTATCTATTCACCTCCGACTCTGCCATACTCAGAAAGACTTTATTTCGGTGTCATATAACCATTGAGAATGGCAGAAGGGGTGGGGTGAAGGTTGAAGCCGTATATCTTACTGCAATCGATATCCCATGTTGTCATACTCGCAGTTTTATCTGCCTCCGTCCCCGATATAGGATCTCCTCGGTACTCGTAGGGGAAGGGGCGAGCCCTACTCTACCCTGTGAAAATCGCAGCCTCTCGTCTACTTGGTAAAGAATAATTCAGAACCAAACGACATCGTCCCAATGTCTACGTTGATGTATATGTTGAGGGCAACTGACTCTTCCAGCTATATCAGCCATCACCTCTTCTATGGCACTGTCTACCACCCATTTAACTCACGTTTCCTAGGATCCCACGCATCGCCATACCCCATAGGATGCGACGGCTGGGACTCGTCGTCTTGGCCCTCCAAGACCCGTAAGGCACGAGTTAGCGGAGGCGTCCGTGATTGATACATCGAAAACCGTGTGTGCTTGGATGTGTGATACAAGGCGCCGTCGTATACCACTCTCTCATCGAAGCTATAGTGCCCGAGCTAATGGAGCATGATATCACGGCAACCGAGAACGGAATGCCATGGCCCAGCAGACTCTAATTACGTACATGGACTTAAAATTCATCCTAACTGCATCAACTGCAGTATGGAGTGCCGTGGCCAGTAAAGACGACACATCATAGATGACTCTTTGCATTATGGGCGGAAAAAAGAACTACGCCTTCTAATCTGGTCAAGGTAAGAAACTGCAGAATCGGGAGCGGCTGGTGCTGTCACCAACTAGTTCGAAAACTTCCCACTTCTTTCTCCAGAGCCACGCTATGGAGTACTGGCCCAAGATTTCAATGAGAGCGGGACAGGGCCAAGCACGGTACCTTTGGAGAGCCTTGTATGATTGCACTCTCACTTCGTGTGTCGGTGTGTCACTTCTATGATCTAAACGATGAATTGATAATCGGTTGGGCCTCTTACCAAGATATCCTTACATAGTATGTGCAAGATCAAAGGTGAGGTTGGGGAAAACATTGGGGATCTGAAACTGCTCTCGGCCGCAGGTCCATTCTCATCAATGAATCCCCGTCCAGCAGACTAGATTAGGTCAAGCAGGCTTGAGATGGCCGTGTTAGTCAAGAATATTCATTGAAGGATTGAAGTCGTATGGGAATAGGTAAGTCAATGGCCCCTCGCGATTTGTTGAATCTCGTCTAATTTTGTTTTCCCTTTGCACACTAGTGTTCCCCAAACGCGGACAGCATTCGATTTGTAGTGCGGTCGCATGCTTCCCCGCCTGCTCCCCGCAATCGGGCTCTGGGTTTTGTTGACTACGGCGTATGGGAGATCCTCTGCGTCGTGTCATGGAATCACTGTGCGAAGGTGCGGAGGTGTGGAGTGCCTTCTAGGATCAGACTTAAGCGATCAGAGAACAGATCATGCAGGCCCTTTCGTGTGGTTGGGGATCTTCCAAGCAAACACATGTCGGTCCTTACCCGTTCGAGAATAAGCAAAACTAATAAGACATTCTCCAATATTGCAGATCCCGAGATGCTGGGAGACAAAGGAGAGTAAGCTTAAGATGGGATTTCCAGCTACTTGCTGCGACAGAAAGGTACCCGACAGGACGAAGGTCTAGGCCATCGTGCCATCCACCCAACCTCCCTACATACACACCCTCAGGAACACAGGAACACAGCCAGAGACATTTCGGGCAAAAGGGAAATGCTTGTGCGTGTGTGGTGACGCTATTGAGGCTGCAACTGGACTAATCAAGGAATAGCATCGTACCAAGGCAATGGAAGAGGAGGGGTGGACGGTGGCAATATTCCGCTCTGCTGTAGTTGGAGTTGGAGTAAGCATGGGGTGGAAGGCTTCCAAGGCGAGGGGAGAGGAGGGGGTTAGATGGGGGACTATGAGGGGGCAGTACTCCAAAGAAGACCGTTGTAGCGTCCGCACGGCAACGACAACATCGAGGGTCCGAGGTCGATGAGGGGCGTCTTGTACGTTGGGGATGCTCTTGACCCCAACAGATGTACTAGCCTCGTATCCTCGACTCCGAATTAGGTTTATACGGGGTTTCCATGCTACCTCTTAGTCCAATATCTGGGCTTGTATTGCCGGTAGCCGGTTTTACGCCTGGGCGGGACCCTTTGCTTCTAGCTTTGAGCGCATTGGTGTTTGTAGTGAATGGATCGTTTAGATCCAGCCGTACGCCTGGTATTTCAAAGTTGGCAACGCCCCGTGTCTTGTAGACTTCACGGGCCATGGAAAGGGAAAAGCTCGAGCGAAGGTGCAAAGAAGCTGAGGGCGTGCTATGCTCAAAGTCGAGATGGCCATTCTCTTTTTTTTTTTTTCTGACATGTATGGAAAAGCACTGTTCGGAATGTATTGACGGCTACCCCTTAAAGCTTGAGCAGGTCGTTATACTCTTATGTACGACGTCGGAGTTACATGCGGCCCAGTCTGAGTCTCCAAATGGGACCCATAGAGAAAAGCAATCTCGCAATCTCTCTCGGGACGTTTATCTATGATCGCAGAGAAAAGGGGCCAGGGTTGCCGAGTGCTTCGGTTTCTCCAAAGCCGACATCGCCCTCATTTCTCCTCATTTTCCGAGGGAGCCTGGATTTGCAAGGAAGAGACCAAGGTCATGTAGGGCCATGTAGGTGTTAGTGGAAACGATGCATGGATACGTAATGTTGGCAGGCCTGCACTACAAGAGCCAAGGGAATTCTTTTCACCAACTTTTTGATATGTCTTGAAGCTTCAAAATCTCCAAGCTCGCAAACTCCCCAAGCAGGTAAGCAGGTAAGCCAAGCCACCGATCCCTGCGGCATTGGCGAACCGTGGTTGTGGGGGGGAAGCACTTGGTCGAAGCTGCAATCGGGCGAGTCTGGTAATGGCGGGATTAAAGTAGAGAGCACTAGGCCGAAGTCCAAGCAGTGTAGGAAGTTATCGTGTACACTTCACCGTACTACACTACACTACACTACACTACGTAAGACTACCCTACTTCGTACGTGACAATACGGGGGACTACACAAGAGTCCATGATAACGTGTGTGGGGGGCGGTGGAGAGTCGGAAAGCTGGCACTGGGAAGCCAATGTAACATGGACTATCTCTATCTCAAAGTACACTACGAAGTACATACGCCACACTCCACTACACCGACACTACTTCGTAACTGCACTAGTGCAGTCTCAAACGATCAACCTCCAGCAACACCATTGATCAGAGCATGCGGGGGAAGTGGAGATGTACATTATCGGGATCAAAATTGATTGCGACCTTCCAGGATTATTGGCTGCAAGCAGAAGTGGGCGTGGCTCTAGTGCAAAAACCTTAAGGTCTGAGGAGGAAATACGCTCGATGATAGCGACACGCTAACCTAACTCATGGTCCACGACAGGTCCAATCTCCAACTCGTCGTTCGTAGTTCGTTCGGGCCATCAGCCACCCCTGGACACCCTCCTCTACTTCGTAATCTCTGGATTCTCGAAGGAACATTGAACATGGAAGGACTGTAACATTTGATGGAACTGAAACCTATGGTTCCTGAAGCATAAAGTCTGGCCATTGCCATCACTCTTTCAACATTTTGCTGGAGGGAAACATCCACGGCTGACTATTCACCGTTCCACCATATAACGACCTTTTGTTTTCTATTTTTCTTCAACGGATAGTCTCGGGAGTCAATATGGCTCAGATGACTGCATCTTCCCCCAAGGAGGGACACCTCCAACCACGACTCTCAAGACTGACAATGGTTGCCATGTCGTTCGCTATCTTGAAGTACGTAGACTACAGACATCAAGAACCGATCTCCCTCTGACAATGTCATAATGAATAGCACATGGATCGCCATTGCTGGAACCATGGGCCTGGTGCTCCCTTCTGGAGGCGCGGTTTCCCTTATCTACGGCTTCATCTTTTGCGTCCTCTGCAACTTTGCCCTCGTTAGTAGCTTGGGAGAGCTGACAGCCATTTGGCCCACCGCCGGAGGCCAATACCACTTCGTCTACGCGCTGTGTACCGACTCCTGGAAGAACCTCATGGTATGCTGATGATGAGGAGGAAGATGACTATGTGCTCTTGTTTCGCCTGGCTCGGCTTTCCACTTACATCCGGATGTGTAACAGAGCTTCTTGGTTGGCTGGGTCAACATTGCTGGCTGGCTTACTTTGGTGACGACGGAAGGGTTTTTCGGCGGTATGCTCTCCCTCTCCCTATCTCCATCTCCATCTACTCTCCGCGTCCCCCGTATCGATATCGAGATCAACTTGAGGTTTTATTTTGCTGACTTTTTCCAAACAATAGCACAATTCATCTCTGCCGCAGCCGTCATGGCTTCAGGTGGCAAATATCAAGCCGAGCCTTGGGCAACCTACTTGATCTTCCTCGCCATGCTTACATTTGCTACCATCCTCAATATATTCGGCAACAAGATCTTGGGCCAGTGGAATAATGTCGCATGTAAGCATGAACCCCTAACCCCGAAGCCCTCCACTTCTACTGACTCTAGCTACTGCGAAAATTCAGTGTATTGGTCGATCCTCAGCGTGGTCATTATGTGCGTTGTCCTGTTGGCAACCTCTGAAAAGACAGATGCGAAGACGGTATTCACTGAGTTTCAAAACGAAACTGGATGGCCTAATGGCGTCGCTTGGATATTGGGCATGCTTCAATCTGCCCTTTCTCTCATCGGCTTCGACGTTGTTCTCCACATGACGGAAGAGATGCCTAATCCTAGTAGAGACGCGCCTTTGGCCTTGGTTTATGCCATCGGAGTTGGCGGTACCACGTAAGTCCCACAGCCCCCTACATGAGGCTGCCATTCGTATACATTGTACTTACCGTGATTTCACTAGTGGAATAGCTGTTGCTCTTGTCGTCCTGTTCTGCCTCGTCGATCCAGCAATCGTTCTAGAATCGGAGACTGGCTTGCCCATCGTCGACATGATCTACCGCGCAACCGGTAGCCGAGCAGCTGCAACCGTCATAGCCCTGATGCTCAGCGTGTGCTTCGTAAACGGCACCAATGGATCAACGACGAGCGTGAGCCGATTGCTATACTCCATGGCCCGAGACAAGGGCATCTTCTTCCACGAATTTTTCTCTCACCTCCACCCGAAATGGAACGTACCCATCCGCACCATCATGCTTTCTTTCGTCTTCAATGTCCTCTTCGGCCTGCTCTATCTCGGCCCAGCAGTTGCCTTCAATGCCTACATTTCCTCCTGTACCATCTTCCTTAATGTATCATACGCCTTCCCCGTCATCATGGTACTCATCAGAGGCAGGAAGGTTCTCGACCGGTTTCAGACTGCCGAGACACCGTTCAAACTCGGAAAAATCCGTGGACTTATCCTCAACTGGATATCTGCCACATATGTCGTCTTCATATCTATTGTAAGTATAACTCTATCTTTTCATTTTTCACTTTCCTTGAGTCACCTGCCTCATTATTGGTTCGCAATGACTGATTGACATGTGCGTACAGTTCTTGTGTTTCCCTCCTGGCCTTCCGGTTTCTGCCAATCTCATGAGTAAGTCAATTGATATGGGAACGCATCATTTCTGTTGGGATAATGTGACAGCAGAGACTCACAATCGTGCGAACAGACTACGTAACTGCCGTTATCGGAATATTTGCCGTGTTTATCACGATATATTGGGTAGTATATGGCAAGACATTCCAAGGACCTGTACGTCTCCACCCGTCTCTAAACGCCCGTTTGGTGGCGCCCTGCTCTGAAGACATTGCTAACGAACTATCTTTCTCCGGGACCAGCATTTCGACGAAATCATAGGTCAAAACATGGCAGACCAGGGTATGGTTGTACAGGGAGATTTGAAAAAGGACCATTCGAGCAAAGCGAGCAAGGAGGAATTGGAGCATGCCCATGGCGCCTGAAAATGGAACGAGATGAATCTGGATGTCACTTTTTATCTATCCCCGTCCATGTTTGATACACATTATGTATATTACTTGGGAAAGTGAGGCACTTCGGGTGAAGGGCAAGAAAGCGTGGGGGAGGTTGGCCTCAACTGTCTACTGTACGCTCTCTCCGCATGCTGCGAAGTTGATCGCTCTCTAGTGTCAATATCATGATAACGTCATCCTTGGGCGTTTTTTCTATCAGGTCTATCTATGTTTTAAGCTTAAGCTATTTCACTATTATATCCCAATTCCTCTTTGAGTAGTGCGATGAAGAAACTAAAGCTATGCCGCTCGACGCTTGGAATATGGTGTGCTATCGCATGGTACGATAATCCTGTGCATGCCCAGACATAATCAGGCAAAGGAACTACACGTCATTTCCCACATGATAGCATCATTCCGGATTTGGAGATGGGAATGTACAAGTAAACTAGCTTGAGTTCAGTGCGGCCTCGAATACAAGAGTCTCAGCTCAACGACGCGAGGGTCTTCATCCTCCAAACCCCCCTGCAGCGAAGACGCCCACGACAAGCAGGTCGAATTGTAAATGGAAATGGTTCATTAATCAAGCAGCTAAGGGCACTGGTGCCAAGGCATACAAAGTTGAGGGAAAGTTCAGGTCAACCGGGAAAGCTGCGACCGCCTCGGAGCACAGACCTTGATCCGCCGTCTTTTCCAGCAGGTCACAATGCAACACAACGCAATCACAGTAGTATCAAGCCCCCCACCTTATTCCGTACTCCGAAGAGCTTCTGTTCAGGTTGACCGTCTGTCTTCCGAGCCTTGGTTTGGAGTAGATGCGGGTCTCACCCTAGGGCGTGTTATATATCCGTCGATAAGTACGCGTACATCGTTGATTATACAAGTGCAATACTACCAAGGCGATTAATAGAGGCAATGTCGTGTATTATTGAAGTCTACAATTGTAGGTTTGCAGCATACTTGCATCGAGGCATGCAAGGTAACACCGGTCAGAAATCTCCGTTTCAAGGATGCTCAGATTCTTCCGAGATGACTCAATTAAGCAAACTTCGCGTGCGTTCGGGAGAAAGGAGAACATCAAGGGTACGTTAAACCTCTCATTTGGCCCGCGACGGCCGTTCTATCCATAAAGCGTCAGTTGCGACGTCTGTATTTCAAAGGCGATTGAAGAATCCCCCAACGAAACGGGGAAAATAGGAGATATCAATCACTTCGTAACGTCTTCCAGTGACCTCATGAGAGAAACCTGACTTGGGAAATGCTGCCTCACTCTTCGAGCTACTAGAGCACGAGGTATGTGACAGATGAGCTCACGTTTGCATTGACCCGAACAATACCTGCAGCCCTTGTTGATGCCAACGTTGAAGTGATCTACTGTTACAATGAATGTTAAATGTTAACCCTACTCCGCTTGTGTCGTTGGCTGAACTAGTCTAAAGATGGCAGTAAGTATGTTTAGATACCAGGTCAATCCAGGGGGAGCCTGGGAGGAAGCATCAACGAGAGTCTAAATATAAACCCGGTGGTGATGATGATGCGGATATTGAATATTGATGCGGATATCAATTTGGCTAGGACTCCTTCCCTATTTCATTGCGTGTAAGTCGTTCCTCCTCCGGTTGTTGAGGCGCAGGTCATCCGTCACCGTCATTCAGGGGTGTACAAGGAAGGGGGTGCTGGGTTTACAGTGGGGTGAAGAGGGTGAAGAGGGTGTGCTGATATCAATTGATATCACTTTTGGGGCCACCAACACCTCCCATTCCCAACTAGGAAGGAATTTTGCAAGCGCCTTGGCAGCACGGCAGAACCAGCACACCTACAGTGAGGCAGCCCTGTTGAAATGCCGGGCCGCGCTGCTGGGACCGATAACTTTCCTATTCCACATCAAGTCGATGCAGGGTATTCACCTTTTCTAGACTAGGTTCGAACGCCAAGAATGCGGGGAAACACGGTCGAGCTCGGCTTCGGGAAGTCAAGCCTGGCCAATCGGGTGACGGACATTTGAGGAGTCCATGTTATCTATCCTGCCATGTCCAATTTGGAGGAGAGGAAGAGACGAATGAACCTTATCATGATCATCCCATTTATTTTTTTTCTATGCTTTTATGAGGGTGCTGATTGGAACATCGAGAAGTCCGTTTGTTGATCTCCCTTCCGTCTTACGTGTTGTGTCTTGCCCCTTGATCCCTTGATACCGACCATCCCTGGTTCAAAGTCCCTCCTGCCTGCCAGCTCAGTCAATATGGCGGAAAGCAAGTGTCCGGTCAACCATGGCCATGTCAACACGGCTGATGGTGGTACGAAGAATAGGGACTGGTGGCCCAATGCACTTCAGCTTCACATTCTTCGCCAGAACCATGGGCCCAGTAACCCTCTCGGTGCCAGCTTCAATTATGCTGAAGCCTTCAAGACCCTCGACTACTTCGCCCTCAAGAAAGACCTTCGGGATCTTATGACCGACTCCAAAGACTGGTGGCCTGCTGATTTTGGTCATTATGGCGGTCTTTTCGTCCGCATGTCCTGGCACGCATCTGGGACGTATCGTGTCTTCGACGGTCGCGGCGGTGGTGGCGAGGTAAGGACCTTTGTGACGGCCCTTCTTCCCCCTTCTCCAAGAGCGCTTGCTGATATTGATATCTTCCTGATAGGGCCAACAACGTTTTGCTCCCCTTAATAGCTGGCCCGACAATGTTTCCCTTGACAAGGCCCGTCGGTTGCTTTGGCCTGTTAAACAAAAGTATGGCAACAAAATCTCCTGGGCGGATCTACTTCTCCTCGCCGGCAATGTGGCCCTCGAAGATATGGGCTTCAAGACCTTTGGCTTTGCCGGTGGTCGCGCGGATACATGGCAAGCTGATGAATCCGTATACTGGGGAAACGAGACAACTTGGCTGGGTAATGAGGATCGTTACAAGCCAGGTGTTTCCGTTCCCGATGACGAAACGCCAAATCCGCGAAAACTCGAGTCGCCTCTCGCCGCTGCACACATGGGACTGATATATGTTAACCCTGAGGGACCGGATGGGAATCCAGACCCCGTCCTGGCAGCTAAAGATATCCGAACCACCTTCAGTCGTATGGCTATGGATGACGAGGAGACGGTCGCTCTCATTGCTGGTGGACATACTTTTGGCAAGACTCACGGTGCTGGTCCATCCTCCTACCTTGGCCCCGAACCTGAAGGTGCTCCTCTCGAACAACAAGGCTTGGGCTGGGTGAATGGTTATCGTAGCGGCAAGGGCCCTGACGCCACGACGAGTGGTATCGAGGTTACCTGGACTAAGAACCCTGTCAGGTGGAACCACGACTTCCTTGAATATCTCTTCAAGTTCGACTGGGAGCTGGTAAAGAGCCCCGCTGGGGCGTATCAGTGGCAAGCTAAAAATGCGCCACTGAGCGTCCCCGACGCATTCGACCCGAAGAAGAAGAAGCTCCCTACTATGCTTACAACCGACTTGTCCCTCCGTTACGATCCCGAATACGAAAAAATCGCCCGCCGCTTCCTAGAAAATCCTGATCACTTTGCCGACGTTTTCGCCCGTGCGTGGTTCAAGCTGCTCCATCGTGATCTTGGTCCCCGTTCGCGCTACCTTGGCCCGGAAGTGCCCTCGGAGGTGCTTGCCTGGCAGGATCCCATCCCTGATGTAAACCATCCTCTCGTTGACGATCGAGATGTCGCTGCTCTTAAAAAGGAGATCCTCCAGTCTGGTATCCACCATTCCAAGCTTATATCTGTTGCTTGGGCCTCCGCCTCAACCTTCCGAGCTAGCGATAAGCGGGGAGGAGCCAACGGCGCACGTATCCGTCTTGCTCCGCAGAAGGATTGGGAAGTGAATAATCCGGCTCAGCTTTCAGAGGTACTCGGCCTCCTCGAGAACCTTAAGAAGCGCTTCGACTCCGTGGGTGGGGGAAAGAAGATTTCCATTGCCGACTTGATTGTCCTCGCTGGCTCCGCGGGTGTCGAGAAGGCGGCGCGTGATGCTGGCTTTGATATCACCGTACCATTTGCCCCCGGACGCACCGATGCGCTCCAGGAGCAGACGGACGTCAAGTCAGTTGGCTACTTGAAGCCCTTGGCCGATGGCTTCCGCAACTACGGCAAGTCAACTACGCACGTCAAGTCCGAGCACTTCCTCATCGACCGCGCCTCACTCCTGAGCCTCTCTGCCCCTGAAATGACAGTCCTCCTCGGAGGCCTACGAGTCCTAGGTGCCAATTGGGACGGGTCATCTCATGGTGTCTTCACTAACCGCCGAGGTGTCCTAACTAACGATTTCTTCGTCAACTTGCTCGCCATGGATACTCAGTGGAATTCGAAGCTCGACGGCGAACTCTACGAGGGACTCGATCGCAAGACTGGCGCCCGAAAGTGGACCGCCACTCGCGTTGACCTCATCTTTGGTTCGCATGCCGAACTGCGTGCCATTGCGGAGGTTTATGCCCAGGCTGACGGTTTGCCGAGATTTGTGGACGATTTTGTCAAGGCTTGGACCAAGGTCATGAACCTGGATAGGTTCGACCTCGAAGGCCAGGTTCCCCAGTTCAAGCCTATTAGCCGCTTATAAACTACTAAGGATATATGCTGTACAATTGCGTCCATAGATAAGATAAAATATCAATGCAACTTTTAGACTCATCCTGCTTTTGATAGCCAAATCTCTCACTGTTCGTTGAGGACTCGTTATTCGTGGAACTGGACATAAGATCAAACTATTTGCAAAATTTCTATGAGATTCATCAAAAAAAACATAGTACGGTGACAGAGAGCGTGGAGCGGGTGACGAGGGCGCACATGGAGTTTCGATGAGCTCCCACTTTTCCATCCATGAGATCTACTAATGGCATAGGCGCGCCAATCGTAAAGGGCACGGCCAAAATGATCAATTGATGCCTCGTACTAAACTCTTCTCGGGCAACGACTTGCTAGGCTGGCCAACGGCTCCGGCTACTAGCATCGGCCACTGGTCATGGGACACCCCGAGAGCCAAAAACCAGGGAGCGGCTCCGCATCTCCATGTGGAAGCCATCGCTGTTTAACCTTGAATCCAAGCCACGGGTCGGGAGCACCAAGCCAGGACTGGGCATTGATGCTCGGTGTTGCCCCGCGAAGAGACTGGTCATTCGGACATTTGGTCCATTCCAATGTGAACTAGCGTTTCTAGTCTAGCTCTGGTGGAATAGATCTATTGACGAGAGGGGATCTTGACGTCTGCCACGCTTCGCTTGCGTTCGTTCGCCTTCGCTGGGCGTTCGGCGTTCTTAAGATTACTAGTCCCGAGATGGATGCCGATTAAAACGCGGGGCAAGGCGGGGGTGGGGTGTGGGGAAGACGATCGGCTCAACTTGTACAAAGGTAAACTTCGCTATTATTACCTGGGCCGTGAACCGGAAGACCTCAAGTTGAAGTCTTGACGCTTATGTACACTCCACTACGGGGAACAATAGTGTCTCTTTTCTTATTCTTACTACTTCGTAACTACCAATGCGGCAATGCTACGCTGTCGTAGAGCCATACCAATCAACGGGGATGTCCTGGTCATCACGACGACCGTCTTCATCGACATAATCCTGGCCCCGACCCCAGCCACGTGATTTTGGAAGGACCGTATTGAGCTCAACGTTTGAAGTTCGTGAATAACGGCGCTGGGTTGAAGATGGTAATTGCTGAGAAGTTGGTAGTTCACGATACCCATTTGAAATTCTGTCCATGGACGAGTATAGTTGGTGAGCGTCGGCTGGAAGGCCCGCGAGGCCGGAGGTCCCCCTACTTCGCAGGGGTCCCAGAAGACACCAGCGAGAATCGCGTGCTGCCCACTTCTGGAGCAGTCGACAGTCTACTCGAAGTGTTCATAGTCTCGAGGGCTCGTTGAGCCGGTTTTCGCGGTCGTTAGCATGGAGGAAGTAAGGTTCACAAATTTGGCTCGGCGTTCGGTAGGAAGTCGCCTGAGGTTGTTATGTTGTGGTTCATTCCATTGTGCCGATCCACGCGGTCGTTTTTATGCAGTGTCTACCAGGTACTTGCCATTGTGACGCGACTTCCGCTTCTGGGAGATGTCTTTACTGCGCACCTTCCAAACCGCTTCTCGACATCTGGCATGTGACGACTGAAACTTCTAACCGGATCCAGACTTGGGTGTTCCTTCCACATTTCATCATAGCAAAGTTTATAAACATAAGCGGGAAGGCAAGGCAATAACAGTAACTTATGGCTGAGGCCTGAGAGTGTTCCCAGCTATTTGACTCTCGATCTCAATCTGGCTAGTTTGTGCTCCCAAGCTGAACTCAGATATAAGCCGTGAAGTGCTCTCATACCTCAGGCTGACCACCTAACCCCCTTCCCTTCCCAGGCAAATCGTGCAAGCCACATCGTCTCAAAACATCAAATCCGTCATGTCCGACAAGGTACCCCAATAACGAGACAGGAAATACGCAGCAGGTTCGTCAACCCCTATGCATATACGAAATATGCACCGAGGTAGAGGAGGAGCAACGGACTCTGGTCTGGATGATGCCCGAGAACAGAATGGTCCGTGCAGAGCTGGGCTGTTGGCGTCGAAGTACCTTAGTTTCAGATCCGCAACGATCCACAATCCAATCTCCAATGATTCCGCCATGCAGCCGACGGATTAGGAAGTCATTTGGGTCAAGGTGTGTGTAATCTGGAAACAGCAACAGTGAATTGTGTTACATGTACCCTTCGGGATTGCCATGCAGTGGGCGTGCATCCTGATTACAAGTAGCACACCCCACACCACCCCACACCCTCCTCCCGTGCTAGACGCCTTGGCGCAGTGGCTGTTTCTGGGCAACTTCCAGTATAGGCCTGAAGTTTACCGCGAAAGAGACACAGCTTTGAAATCAATCATCCTGAAGCTGAAAGGGAGAGCTTAGTTTGACATCAAAGAATCACTACCGACACCTTTTCTGGAGACCCGGGGGTTCCATACAGTATTGGCCGAGGTGCCCGGTCCCCGACGATGTTGGAAATAATACTCATTAAGTTAGGTACTCTTCGGCTCCCTTCCGGCTGTGAATCGGCCCAAAGGGGATGAGGGGTTGTCCTTGGACATGTCGTGGTGTTCCCCTCTCCAAGTTAACTTTCTCCGCAGGCCGGGTATCTGGTATCGTTTAAAAGCCACAAGACGACAAGGGCATGCTTTCCAAGGCATCCTGGGTTTTGCAAAACTCGACCGCAATATTGTAAAATAGCCATACTTCCTTCTCCTTCCTGCCTTTGTGTTTTATCTTACGCTGTCATCAAATACCTTCATTCCATCGAACGAACGAGGCATATCACAATGGCTTTGACAGTCAAGCTCAGCACACCAGTTACTGGGCCCTACGATCAGCCCATTGGCTTGTAAGAGTCATGAAAGGCCATATTGATCTCCGAATTCTCGCTAATGCCCAACAACTCCAGGTTCATCGACGGCAAGTGGGTCGAAGGCGTTGACCGGAGAAAGTTCAAAGTCATCAACCCTTCCACAGAGGAGGTCATCACCTCCGTTTGCGAGGGCACCGAAAAGGATATCGATTTGGCCGTTGCAGCCGCCCGAAGGGCCTTCGATACCACCTGGAAGGAGACCTCTCCCGAGCAGCGAGGTCGACTTCTCTCCCGTCTTGCTGATTTAGTGGAGAAGAACAGAGACCTTCTGGCGGCCGTTGAATCTCTGGACAACGGGAAGTCGATCAGTAATGCCCGTGGTGATGTCGATGCTGTGGTTAGCACTATCAGGTACTATGCAGGCTGGGCGGATAAGATCGAGGGCAAGACCATCGATGTTGATCCTAACATGTTTCACTACACTCGGTCTGAGCCAGTATGATTCCCCTTCTGTCCTTCCGTTTTTCTCTTTGCTCAGCGCTGATGCTCTACCTAGCTTGGCGTTTGCGGTCAGATTATCCCTTGGAACTTCCCTCTCCTTATGCTCGCATGGAAGATCGGCCCCGCGCTTGCAACAGGGAACACCGTGGTCATGAAGACTGCCGAGCAGACACCCCTTTCTGCTCTCGTCTTCACGCAGTTCATCCAGCAAGTCGGTTTCCCCGCGGGAGTTTTCAACCTCGTCTCCGGCTTTGGCCCAATTGCTGGCGCTGCGCTGTCTTCCCATAAAGATGTTGACAAAATCGCCTTTACTGGGTCTACTCTTGTTGGAAGGCAGATTATGCAGGCCGCTGCTTTGTCCAACCTGAAGAAGGTTACCCTCGAGCTTGGCGGAAAGTCGCCCAACATCGTGTTCAACGACGCAGATATCGAAGACACGATTTCATGGGTAAACTTCGGCATCTATTTCAACCACGGCCAATGTTGCTGCGCAGGATCCCGCATTTATGTACAGGAAGGCATCTACGATAAGTTTCTTGCTGCTTTTAAGAAGAGGGCTGCAGAGAACAAGGTTGGAGATCCCTTTGATGAGGAAACCTTCCAGGGGCCCCAGGTGAGCAAAGTTCAATACGATCGCATCATGGGCTACATAGAGTCTGGGAAAAAGGAAGGAGCGACTCTCGAAACAGGTGGCGGACGACATGGCAGCAAGGGCTACTTCATCCAGCCAACGATTTTCAGCAACGTTCGTCCGGATATGAAGATTATGAAGGAGGAAATCTTTGGCCCCGTTTGCGCCATCTCCAAGTTCAAGGATGAGGAGGAAATTCTGAAGCTGGCTCATGACACGCCGTATGGCCTCGCTGCCGCCGTACACACGAGAGACGTCAACACTGCCATCCGTGTCAGCAACTCTCTCAAGGCTGGCACTGTTTGGATCAACTGCTACAATATGCTGCATCACGCGGTGCCATTTGGTGGATACAAGGAGTCTGGAATGGGTCGGGAGCTCGGTGAGGCTGCCTTGGCGAATTACACGCAGAATAAGTCGGTGGCTCTGCGCTTGACGAAGTCCCGGTTGTAAGCGAGGATAGGTTAGTTGCTGTTGGATAGTTTGGTCATAGTAGTATTGGTGGGGGTTAGTGTAGCACTTTTTCAATACGCGAAGTAGCCATTTCATTGATCACTTTTGCTGTTCCATATCAGGCATGTTCTACGCTTGTAACCAGGAAAGGCTTGAGAGTTGGGAGATGAACTTTGTGCTGTCGATTGATCTCGATTGTGGCCACCTTACCTACCGCTCCGATGTTCATTCCCGTTGCCCTCCATGCTAACTTCGCACATTGCGGCCAGCTTAACCTGGACGTTTGAGATTCGCGCTAGCAAGGTAACGCCCATTTCTGGTTTAGTGCCTGGATCCGAGAATCCGATAACGCTTGCACGATATCTTCCATTTCAGGAAGAGTTCCCGCCTTGAGAAAATTGGCACTACCAGGGTGCTCAATTGATACACCCACTCCTCCTATCTTTTGATCGATATATTGATATGGCCACTCCCTTCCCCCCTCCATGCAATTGTACCCCGCGATGGTGCACGAAGTAGGTGTGCTTCGTAGATTTACAAGATAGGAAGTAGAGGCTTGGCCCCCACAAAGAGGGGAAGCTCAGGAGAACAAACGCAGTGGTCCATCCGAGGATGGCAACGGAGCACTCCAGGGCCAGGCCCACAAGCTAGTAGCAACAGTGAAGCTCCGGCACATCATAACCGTGCCGTGTCCATCTTCCGCAATAACCACCATGCGATGCCGGCTTGGAGGCAGGAACCCTTTCGTCCGGTCTGCACCGTCCCCGCTTCGCCGGCAACACGCGACGGGAGATTTCGCTGGAGAGGAATAGAGGTGGACAAGCGTGTCAGAATATTCCTCGAGCTCACTGGGTAGAAGCGGAGGTTCCCGAACTAGAAAGCTCAGATAATGTCAAGCGGACGCCAGAGCGGGGATATCAATGGTACAGTGGGACTCTCTAACCCCCGCCGGAAAGGAAGTCCACTGCGACGGTCTTTACGAAGTCGATGATTCGTATAGTGTACGCACCCCGCGGGTCCCGACCGAGCGATCTGTCTAACTGCGGAATTGCATATCATTGGGGATCGGGGGCAACCAACGGCGTTCAAATTGCCGCTGTGGATGTGTGGGGAAATGCCAGTGGAAGTGCCAGTGCATATGGACATCACAATTACCCGCTGTCCGCACTACACTATCCATAGTTTCTTTGCAGTCCATGCTTCGTACACTAGTGTAAGATCTCAAGTCTATGCTAGCGCGGGCCCTATGATCGAGCTAGCTCTGCTTTCCCCCAGGTAGGATTGGGGGGGGTTGGGGGTTGATTATTCCCTGGCATTTCCTCTGTTATCTCTGACCAAAGCGGAAGCCAAGACGCTAGTGAGCTTTAACTGTCAAGAGCCTCAACTTGGGACCGGTTGGCTTCAACGACGTATTCGTACTACTGGAGACCCAAAATTGACCACCGCGTGGCCCAGGCCCAGACGAAAAGGGAATCTAAACTGCAGGACCACATTTCTAATACATACTCCACAGTCTTTCTTTGCGCTTCCCCTCTCCTCCGGTGCTCATGTTCTGCGGGGATGTCGGTCAGAAGGCGCGCTTGGTGAGGGTCTAGTCGGGCGGGACCAAGGTCTGCAGCTGTCTTGACCCGTGGGACTCCGAGGCGGAAGACACTTGGCCGGTGTCAAGCTCCGGATTCTCTCTCAGAATGGTTTCTTTATCTTTCCCATTTTTGTAACATTTTTGTAATATTTAAAGCTCTCTTTCAGCTCAATGTTCTCTCTCATTCCTTCCAACAATCCAATCATTCCGAGCAGGGAACAGAAAAGCATCTAAATACCCAAGCGACTCTCAACACTTCCCCAGCATCTTTTTTGCGTGTGTTTCAATTGTCCTCTTTTCTTCTCCCCTATACAAAACATATCAGCCATGTCTATCGTTCCCCATCCCTTCGACCCTCTCTCCGCCCAGGAGATCGAGCTTGCCGTGTCGATTGTCAAGAAGGCTCACTCCGATGTGCGGTTCCACGTCGTCAATCTCCATGAGCCCCGCAAGGCCGAGATGACGGCATGGCTTGCCAATCGCGGATCCCGCCGGCCTAAGCGCGTCGCCGAGGTTGTCGTCCAGTCGCCCACCGGCACCGTCTACGAAGGTTTGGTTGACCTTGAGACGCCGAAGCTCGACAAGTGGGTCCAGAAGGACGGAGTGCAGCCAGTCGTAAGTGTGCCCCCTGCGCTGCCCCTGCGCCTACTACCTCCGGCTACCTTTCCGTGTACGGGCTAGGCGGAGCAACTTTAATTCTAATTCGGGAATCCAGATTACTCCGGAAGAGCTCGCCTCCGTTGAACACGGTATCCGCACCGATCCCAAGGTCATTGAGCAATGCGTCATCAGTGGTATCCCCGCCGAGGATATGCACAAGGTCTACTCCGACCCTTGGACGATCAGCTACGATGAGCGCTTCGGTACCGATAGACGCCTGCAGCAAGCGCTTCTGTACTACAGGCCCGACATCGACAACTGCCAATACCAATACCCCTTGGACTTCTGCCCCATCTGGGACCCCCTCAAGGAGAAGGTCATTGCCATCGATATCCCCAAGGTCCGCCGGCCTGTCGTCAAGTCCCCCGCCGTGGACTACCATCACCTTGCCATCCAGCGCCAGGGCGGTTACAGGACGGATCTGAAGCCCATTCAGATCACCCAGCCCCAGGGTGTGTCCTTCGAGTTCAGTGGCACCGGACGCGAGATTGAGTGGCAAAATTGGAAGTTCCACATCGGCTTCAACTACAGGGAGGGTATTGTATTTAACAACATTACCTTTAACGACAAGGGAACTGTTCGTCCCATCTTCTACCGAATGTCGATTGCCGAGATGGTAGTACCATAGTAAGTGAACCTGTCCCGTTACTACTGCTCAAGAACGAACGATCTAACAACGAATGAAACAGCGGAAACCCCGAGTACCCTCATCACCGAAAGCATGCGGTTGGTAAAAGCATGAAGCCTTGAAATAGAGGATTTATACTAATAAAGGAAATAGTTCGATTTGGGAGAATATGGTGCGGGTTACCTGACCAACAGCCTCTCTCTCGGCTGCGACTGCAAGGGAGCTATCTACTACCTCGATGCCGACTTCCCAACCCTCAGTGGTCAGGTCCGCAAGGTCAAGAATGCCATCTGCATTCACGAGGAAGACAATGGCATTCTGTTCAAGCATACCGACTTCAGGGACGGCTCTACTATTGTCACCCGCGCACGAAAGCTCATTGTTCAGCAAATCTTCACAGCTGCCAACTACGAATATGCAATCGCAGTACGTCAATCAGATGAGACCTTGTCCCTCCCACCTTCTCTCCTTTGGCCGGTGGGGGGTGAAATAAACAGAGGCTAATAACAAATTGTAGTGGACTTTCCATCAAGACGGAACTATCCAGCCCGACATCAAGCTCACGGGTATCCTAAACACCTACGTCATGCACGAGGGTGAGGACACTATGGGATACGGAACGGAGGTAAAGAAGGGTACCGTCGCGCATAACCATCAGCACCTCTTCTGTCTTCGCATCAACCCCAACCTTGACGGACAGAACAACTCAGTCGTCATGGTCGATGCGGAGCGCTCACCGGCTCCCGTGGGCAGTCCTGACAACTACTACGGCAATGCCTTCACTGCGCGTCGCACGAGGCTTGAAACCACCGCCCAGGCCATGACGGACTATGACGGCACCACGGGTAGGACGTGGGACATTGTCAACGAGAAGAAGATTAACTCGCAGAGTGGTAAACCCGTCTCGTACAAGCTGGTCAGCCGAGAAGTTCCCGGATTACTTGCGAAGCCTGGCTCCCTTGTATGGAAGCGTGCCGGATTTGCCAGGCATACCGTTCACGTCACCAAGTGTAAGTGATCTCGAGTTATTTACCCCCAGGGATATTTAATTCCCTTTTCTGGACAAAACTGACCAAGAACCTTAGACCGGGACGACCAGCTCTGGGTCGCGGGTGACCACGTCCCGCAGACCTCGGGTGAGCCCACTAAGGGAATCACCGAGTGGATCGGCGACGGCACCGAATCCATCACCAACACCGATATCGTGCTCTGGCATACCTTTGGCATCACGCATTTCCCTTCGCCCGAGGACTTCCCCATCATGCCGGCCGAGCCCATCACGCTCCTCCTACGACCCCGCCACTTCTTCACCTGCAACCCCGCCATGGACGTTCCTCCTTCGTACTCGATTACGCCCAGCCAGGTCGCGGCTAAGGGTAAGGGAGCGTTGGATGCGACGGACCGCATTAGCAAGTTGGCGAACGATACGTGTGGGTCGACGTGTCGGCTTTGAGGGGCGAGGGGCAAAATTGTATCAATTATACAGACTGAGGTGGAGCACAGGTAGCATTTTGAGAGTAGAATAAGCTGTTATCAGTTCCTTGCATATCAATTGATCTTAGGTTTCCTTATTTATACTGGCTTGACCCCTACAAATTTGCTTATCGCCCTTGAGAGTGTTGGTATCTTGTGGGACTCATTCCCCTCCCAGACCCCTACAATTGCTCGTATTTACATAAGACTCCAACTCGATCTCGCTGCATGAATCTCTCAATAATTTCCGAGACTCTTCAGCCGTCAGTTCAATTAACACTCTGAGCGAAACGTCAAATGAATACATTGATCAATTGGAATATGCAATAGGTACATGTTAGTCCCTCGGTACATTGATAACGAGTCAAGCATTGCGCCCCACTAACAATTGCGAATGTGAAGATAACGATGAGGCTTGAGACTTATCAACAATGATCCAATCATAAACTTACGAACAACCGCAGGAACGCCACAGGAACAGGAACGTGTTCCTTATCAAGATTACAGAGGCAGACGGTTCCACTACATTTCGCACAACATCTCCGATCAACGGAGCCTTACAATGATTTCGAAATGTTATATAAACTCAATTTTCCGTATTTTTATTCCCCGATGGAAAATCGGGAATAATTCCAGATTCCAGATTCCAGATTCATTCCACAGTTCAGTGACATCGTTCCCTGTAATTAACCTCGGTAAAGCCCACCACTTAAAAACCCCCCGCTTCTCCCGCAGTTCTCCCATGCCTGGAAAACCTTAAAACCTGGGGTAATTTCGCTTCCCCGCATTTCTCCCGGTGATCTGGGCAGGTCCACAAAGGGAAAGGGGAGCTTGAGCCTTAATCTGGGGGAAAATCGCACATCGATTGATCAATTGATCTTGGACAATACATACTGCTACGCACTCCGCACTCTGCACTCTTGCGCAATGGATGCCTCCATCGCCGGGCAAGTAGCCAACCGGCCGTGCCACAGCTGTCGTCGCAGGCGCTTGCTCTGCGATCGCACATATCCGCATTGCTCGAAGTGCGCCTCGAGAGGGGTTGAGTGTCTCGGCTACGGCACCTTGTTATTATGGACGGGAGCTGTGGCCATCCGCGGCAAGCTCGCGGGGCAACCCTCGACCGCAGCTCTATGTCGCCCGGAGGAGCAAAGAAAAACACGGCGCTCGCCAAACTCGAGAAAAGCGAAGCCATACATGCAAGCAAGTAGCGGGGGAGCCAGAACTCCGGATTCATCTCCCGAACCTACGTGTTCACCGACGCGCGATGTCGAAGTTCACGAAGTCGATCGCTCGAGAAGCCCTTCCTTCTCAGACACGTCTTCTGTCTCCCACACACTTACAGATCCCTTATTTCAAGACTCGGGGTATAGTCTTAAGAATTACTTTGACCATTGTAAGAAAATCGACATTCACTCCAAACCACCAAGGGGAGACCTTATCTAACGAACAGCACCACAATTGTAGTTTCATCGCGCGTCTGCCTAGACCTCATTGGTCACGATATCTCCGGCCATAACCCTTTCCGAACTCTCCTCCCGCTAACAGCTGCACACCCCTTGTTGCAGCATGTAATCGTCGCAGCCTCGGCAGCGCATATGTGTAACCGTGCAAGATCTTGGCTTTCCCCTACCTCCTTCGAAAGACGCGAAGCGCCGAAGGACATCATCATGGACGCTCTCATGGCGAAGCAGAAGACATTGCAGCTGATGCCTTCGGCGCTCCACAACATCAACACCATCGGCGGGGATATCCTCCTCGCAGCCGCCGTATTTCTCGTCAACGTCGAACTGCTCGAGTCGGGAACGCGTTGTTGGAAACCTCACCTTGAGGGTGCGGCGAGGATCATGAGCTTGGTACAAACCCTTACGCCGGTTGATGAACCCTTGAGAGACTATATCATGTCTGACTGCATTGTGTAAGTGAGAGGGAGTCGTCTTGCTATTTTTTTTTCTCTCAGAAAAACAGTAAGTTCTTAGCTGACAACAAACTTAGTTACTCCATTTTCAGCTTAACGATAAACCCATCTCGACATGACCTACGAAGATACCTTCAATCTAGCAACATCCTTTCCATTTTAGAGAAGGCGGCAAACACATACTCCTGTTGTCCACCCGAACTACTCCATATTCTTTTCCTCACATCACAAATTTCAAGCACCAACGACACCGAAGATTACTACTCGGACGATGACGACATCCTCAGTTCGACGGGCATGGCATTACTAGAGAGGGCGCAAAACGTTGACCTGGCCGCCTGGGCATGCAGACTGGACAAACCCGATACCATAGCGAGCCGGTATATGGCCGCCTCGGCGCACCAGATGGCTACGTGCCTATATGTCATGCAGTCTTTCCCGTCCCTGTTGAGATGGGTTGGCGACGGAGCGTACGACGCGCTTATCGATAGACTCTACAACACGCTATCGCAGATTCCTGATCCAGATCCCAACTTTAAGGCGACCATCTGGCCGACTTTCATCATCGGCACCACGGCCTGGACGGTGGAAAAGCAAAACTGGGTTATAGATCGACTGAGGCGGTTGACCGTGGCTATCTGTTGGGGTTTTGTCTATACTGCTATCGACACGTTGCAGGCTCTATGGAGGCTTGATGAGCGGGTGAGGCGTTCTCGGAATTGGGTGCATACTTTACGAGATATGGGGATTAACTGCTTGGTTGTATAATTACCTAATGAACAAACATAGAACTATCAAATCGATGACATCCTCTAGGGTGAATAGTAAGGTGGTTGCCTCGTCTAAGTGCTGTTGATGTCTCGGGAGACCTGAGGATTACACGCGGTCAACTCGATAAGCCGCCAAAAGCTGTTTATCTGCCGCAGGGAGAGAAAAACAGAGGAAGAGGAAGCCTACTAGTTAGAAGGCACGAGATTATGGCGGAATCATATTTTTCAACTGATGCTCCTTCCCAAGCTAGGAATCATTCAGGCCATTGCCCACGAAATATAATTATTCCAACTCGTATGCAGGTGCGGACTCCTTCGTTTCATAATCCTCATAACACGGCAGCCCATTCCCCGGCCACGGAAGCAACACCAAATCCACCTCCTCCGAAACCTCCGTCGACTCCCCCGCCGCCGTCAACCTCAACTTCCACTTCAGCTTGTGGGCATGCTTGATGTTGTACGTGGTGAAACTGGGATACAGCTTCTTCTTGCCGCGCGAGATCCCAAGCGGTTTAATTGAAGTGAGACACAGCTGCAGAAGCTTCCCGACGTCGAGAGGTTGGGACTTTTCGCCGGAGGGCACGACGATGGGCTCTTGGCGCTGGTTGATGAGGGACGACAGGTCGAATCCGAACGTCCGGTTTTGATTGGCCGTGTGTGCGATCAATTGGCCGCGGCATACCATGTTTGTCGACGCCTCGATCTCAAAGGTCATCGACGTTAAGGTGACGGTGGGCAGAGCATGCTGGACCAACTCGGTTGTCTGGTCGTGGTCGGGCAGGACCAGGAGGCGGAAGGGGATGGGGTTGGGATTCCCTACTTGGAGAGTAGTAGGATGCTCAACCTGGAGCGAGAAGGCGAATTGCGGGACTTTAGACGAGCCGAAGAACTCGCGGGTTCTCTCCTGAAGAGACAGCGTCGCGGACCCTGATCCCGATCCTAATTCAGATCCGCGGGTGAGACGATAGGTGTTGATGCGACAGAGGAAATTGCGGCGGGCGAGGCTGAATTCGGAAATCAAACCGGGCGTCTCTGCCGGGAGGACGGAAAAGGGCAACACGGCCTGGTCCACTTGATGTCCGCTTCCTCTGGAGCTGGCATGGAGCTTCGCTTCGAGGAAGTACTCGACAAAACACTCGTAGGTTGTCGTCAGGAACCACCCAGACATGTAAAACACAGGCGGCAACGAATGGTTCACAACCTCCTGCTGAGCCAGCGGGAGATAGCTAAACTTCTGGTCGTTATCCTTCGCCACGGTCGCGGGATCGGGGCCCGACGGAATCGTCAGAGAGAAAGGCCACTCCTGCCTTCCATCGGCGGCGATGTGCACCGGCCCGTCATGGAGTTGCTGCTCGTTTGCGACGGGGTTGAATAGGCCGAAGCGGCCGCGGTAGATGCTGGCTCCGGCTTGGCCCCTGCTGACGGTTAGTTTGGACTTAGTGCGGCCGTTTAGTTGGATTGTAAGATGCGCTTGGGACGAGACGATTGGTGCGGTTCTCATGACTCGGCCGGTGATGGTCTCGCCGGCCTGGTAGATGTTATCCTGCCTGTCGAGAATGATCTCCAATGCTGGCGTCGATTTGGCGAGTGTTCGGGGCATTTTTTTTTAAGGGTTAAAGAAATAAAATAAAATAAAACGGTTTCTTTCAATAGGAGGTAGATGGGCGATTGTTCGATTTGATCGCTTGGGAAGAAGGAGGTGGTTGATGCTCCTCGTCTCAGTCCGTCGCCTTTTCAAGTGCTTCTTCCATGTAAGCCGTCCGCCTTTTTATATGGACAATATTTGAACCCACGTCGAGATAGCGAGATAGCTGGAGGAAGCATCGATCCCTTTGCCGCAGGGAAATGGGCTCCAATCTCGTTTCTCTCATCTGCTACCATTTGATGTATGACGAGCTGTCAACCGTAGGATACCCATATCCTCCTCGATTAGAACTGCTTTTATACGACGAATACGGAGGTTGTCTGCCGGTAAAGCGCGCTTCGGAAATAAGCTCGATTTGGCGAGGGGAGTGTTGGTCCCGGATCGCTTGGCTGCTTCGCTGTCTCCCCGTGAGGGGGGAAACCTATTGCCTTCTAGTGCTGTGGCAGGACAAGACCGCTGATCGACATCGCCCGCATCGTATAAATGGCGTCTCGACCTCATTAAGGTTTGCAAATGTCATCGGCGGGCCGCCTAATTGGTCGTCCGGGACGTTTCACATCACTCTGCACTCTGTACTGGAGCACTGCATGCTTTGCTGACCGCAGACATCCAATCACACTCAAACCCGAATCTGTATTTAGATATCACCGGACTGATCTCGATCCGTCTTATGGGCCGCAGCCCTACGACTTTGAGAGAAGTTTCCTCGCGTCCGTCGTATCCACTCCGAACTCTCATTGTACGTGTCGCTTACCTTGTCTTGCCAAGGAGATTCGTCTACAAAAGCGAATTATACGGCATTTGAAGCGCGTCTAAATTACTGAACATCCATCTCTGTTTAACGCTGCACACACATCATCACCATGTATGGATGGCCGGAGCCAGCTATCCCTCGAGGATTGGCAGCCGAACAAGGAAGACAGACGAATGATTAGGCAATGAAAATAATATAAAACCTCCTTTGATTCTTGCTCCAAGATGCTCTCATGCGAGGCCTCCCTAAGTGCTTCGTAGCATGCTCTCCTCTCTCCTCGCTGCATAGTTGATATTGATCCCGCTTTTACCTGATAATAACTTCAAAGTTATATTCCAAACCAGCTGCCTAGTTGATACTGATACGTACGTTCAAATGGCCGTCTCAAACCGGCCCCCCGCAAACGGCTTCGTCCGTGTCATGCGCTTCATCTATAACCCTATCGGCTTCTCCAAAGGTTACAACTTCATCCTCTTCTTCATTTTCGGCGGAGCCCTTCTGGGCTTCACCCTAGCTCGTTTCCAATACGTCGATTTCCACGGCAGGTTCTGCGGTCCGCCAAATGGCATGGATCACGCCTTAGCCGGCGAGTGTTACTACTACAACGTGGGCTATGAGAAGATCGGTATCATTATGCATCTGGTTTGCATCCTGCCCGCGAGTTTGCTGGTCTGCTTCCAATTCGTCCCGGTAATTCGGCACAAGGCCCTCATTATCCATCGCATCAACGGCTACATCGTCATCCTTCTGGCTCTAGCAGGGACCGCTGGTGCCATCATGGCTACGAGGCACGCCTTTGGTGGCGGTATGGACATCCAAACGGGAGTTGGGTTCCTCTCCATCATATTTCTTGTGTCCCTTGTGATGGGGTACATTAATATCAAGCGGCTTCAGTTAGAGCAGCATCGCGCTTGGATGTTGCGGGCATGGGTCTATGTTAGTGCCACCCTCCCTTCTATTCGGGTGTAAGTTTCTGACGATGCTGATCTAAACTAATCAATCTATCTATGCATAGGCGGGCAGCATCATCACAGTCAGGATCATTGCCTTCGCCGCATCTGCCATAATTTCGAGCATGGGGCCTTTCTATCAACTTAGAGAGTGTGGCCAGGTCGAAGAAGCCTTTGGAAATCTCGGCAACTGGACCGCCGTCGTGTACCCAGAGTGCACAGGCTACATGGCAGGAAACGACACCCATGCCCTCACGAGGGTCAAAGCCGACGTCAACGGGAGTCCCATTGAGCTGGCCGTCGCATTTGGAACCATGTTTGGCGCTTCTCTCTGGCTGTCCATCGCCTTACACGCCATAGGAGTAGAGATTTACGTGAGTAGCAAAGCCAAACTTCCGAGCCATTAGTTTCTTTTCATGTGTTGCGACTTGTGTGGACTTACTGACTCATGCGAATATCTCAATAGCTTCGCCTCACCCCGGCCGAGTCTGAGCGACTACGAAATATCTCCTACCAGCGGCAATTGGAGGCCGGCATGAAGAATCCTGGTGCAGCTGGCCTCACCGCAGATAGATTCGGTGATTCGGACAAGTGGAAGCCCAAATACGAAAGCTGCTCTGGCGAAGAACATGGGCTCACGCCTATTCCGCAGAAAGCACTCGGAGAGGAGACTACGGCATATCTTGGACCCGGATCAAGCGTGCCGATCGACGAACGGCACTCCAGTACACCATCAGTACAACCTCTCGTGTCTCAGGGTCAAGTTCCTCCGAATCCAGCTCGACCATATGCATATGACTACCATAACGAACGTGGCGCCTATTCTAGGTGATTGCTAGTGCTCTCTTGACTTTGAATTTGGTATCGGCGATTTTACCATACGGTTCGTGCGTATCTGGTATCCCCCCTTTTTTTTTTTTGGTTTCGTTTTCGTTTTCTTTTGCATTGTTGCTGCAGTGGTGGAACCAGTTTGGTGATGGACAACAACACCTGGACGACCTCCTGCGGAGGCCATGGTCCCGGTTTGGGATGCTCTCTTGCATTTATCTTGATAATCTATGAACCCTATCGAGTTACAAGTCGCGGAAAAGAAGTATGATACATGAATCGTAACTCTCCTTGAAAACATACCTGCGGAATGATTTCATATTTAGATTCTTTGTAACTACAAGTGACAACTAGATAGTTTCGTCTTCATTGACTGCCACAGGGAAGGCCGTGTCTAGGAATATCCAGCAAGCCGCTTGCACATCCCGTGCTCGCCGGCTTCATAGATCCATCCTTCCCAGGCCCATACACCTATGTTTTCTCCAAACTCCATCCTGGGGGAGTAAAAGAAAGGGAGCTTGTTGGTAGAGAGTCGTGTATCAAATTCAAGCCAGGTAATAGAACCAGAGAGTAACTCTATGAAGGTATGGTCTTGATCTCCCTCTTGTTCCACGACTTATTGTAAAGGCCGAAACATACTTCTCCCTGCGGCAACCCTCCCACCTGGCACTCGCGCGGTGTCATGGGCTTTAGGTTATGCGGTTCCTGTGTCAGTCTCGGGAGGACTTTGAGGACATTGTTGCGACCGATATTAGCGTAGTCGTGCTGGTTGACGTTTGGCCACACATGCTCATCCCACCAAGCTACGAAAACAACCGCTGTTAGTGACCAAAGACTTATGGCCATAAACAATGGTGGGAAATTGCGAGTAAGTCTAACGTACCGCAAGCATTCCGGATGCTCTCAAAGGGGTAGTCAATGGAGAACATGATGGAGCTGGCGCCAACCTCGCCAATGGCAAACAACAGTGCCGACGTCGAAAAGTGACCCGATGTGGTGATGAAGAGCTGCTCGCCAAAGTAGTCGCGAACCAGCTTGTCTTTTCGCATGGGCATGTTGGGGAAACGCCCGCGGTCAAGTTTGTGGTCAATCCGGTAAAGGTCATAAGGACTTGGCGGATACACCACAAGTTAATACTGCTCTGGGATAATGGTAGAGGAAGAGAAAGGCGAATGCGTTGGGACCTAGGCATGGAGAGGTAAACTTACATATGCTCGCCCATATGGCCAAATAGGATTTTCAGCTCAGGGAAACGGTCAAGCACTCCGTTCGTCACAATACCGAGGATATGCATATTCAGACGATCCGCATACCCCAGAGCAGAAAAGTCAAGCCACGGCCGGCCCTCCCACATGAGCTTATGGATTAACTTGTTAGAAGGTCGCGGGTGCATGTAAACGGCAGCCCCAAGCTTGGCCGCCGTCTTCCAAAACACGTCGTACTCAGGCTGGTCAAAGTAGAGCATGCCGTTTCCATCATCGCCGCAGCTCTGATAGTCATTGAGAATCGCACCCACGAAGCCCTTCTTCTCAGTCATGCACCGTCGAAGCTCCTCAGCCGCTTGGGCTGGATCATGCATACTGAGGGCAGCAAAGGCGGCGAACCTCGTCGGCGCCTTCATCACTTCAGCCTCTAGGCGGTCATTTACCAGCCTCGCCTGCGCTTCGGCCTTGGCCTTGTCGGGAATCCCTTGGCAGCCGGGGGCCACGAAGGAGAGGATCATGAAGTCGACACCGTTCTCGTCCATCTGCTTGAGGCGCATGTCGTGGATGTCGAGCAGTTCATTGGTGAGACGGGAGCCCGTACCAGGCGCGACGAACTTTCCTGGGTCATTGTTGGAAAGCTCCTCTGGAATGGTCCAGCACTCTTCGAGAGCAATCTTACCCAGCATTGGCAACGAGAATTTTGGAATAATCTGAGAGATTTTGAGAGCTAAGAGTAAATGAATGCTGTTGATTTCAAAATGACTGTGCGAGAGGGGGGTGTGAGAGCAGAAGAAGCTATATCAATGACGGTATTAATATCTAATATATCGCGAGCCTGCGCACGCATACATCCTGCCCTTTATTTATAACAGAAGCCATGCCGAACACCGCTTCGGACGGTTGGACGTTCTCAGTTGGGGAGCTTGAGAACCAACACGACATTGGCTACCACCAGACGAGGAGGGGGACGCCGGAAAGATATATCCGATAGAGTGGAGGAAATGGATTAGTTCCGAGAATTGAGAACACACTCCCAAAACCTTCCTGAATAGCTCTTCACGTTCATGATTTGGCCATTTTGTATGATAATCAACAGATTAGAGTTAGAGGGGAATTAAAAGCAAATCTCGCGGTATGTCCTGAGTCTGGAATGGGCGTGTGGGCAGAACGTCTCCAGAGCTACTTTCCAACCGGAGTTTGGATCAATGTTTTTGCCTTTGCCATAGTATTGGCTGGGGAAGCGCGATATCTCCTTGAGCTGCAATTTTAGCGTCTCGATTCTTCCCCTTATGGGTACCATCCTGTTGTAGGTGGCATCGCCTTTTCGTCTGTTTGAATCGTTGAAATGACCCAAGATCTCATCGCGGATCTAGTCCTGTCGAGCAAGTCGTCATTGTTTCATTAGGGCTTGAAAGAATCTCTCTACCCTCACTTGTGTTGCCATGATGCTGTGATGCCTTCTTACAGAGAGCGAGAGCCCAAAGGGGTAGGCTTACTATAGGCAAGATACTATTCGTTGGACGAATCCCGGTGCCTTCAGGGGAATGTTGCCGTTCAGTGGGGTCAATAAAGGGGTAGTGTAGTTGATCCATCGATGATAGCTCTGAGGGATCAAGTCATGTATAAATCTGGTAGGATAGGATACCGCACGTTTTACTTCTTTCAATATCTATTCTGGGCCATCAACTCATTGGAAGAAACGGTTGGCGATGAGGGTACATTTGTGAACATAAATCTGGCACTATTAATGTGCTTGCCAAAAATACTACCTGGACTTGAGTGAGAACTCCAAGACTTGGCGGGTTTGAGTTATTATGAGATAAATCTGAGGGAGATGGAGAGTTGAGCAATTGAGACACGGCAGCACGAGGGAATTGACATGATACCAGCAGAGCTTGGCAGAAAATGGCAAGCACATCCGAGGGCGTAATGGGCACTAACAAGCACCCGGAGACACAGGATTCTCTGCCATTCAGTCCTTCTCAGATGCAATAAATCGAGAAAACCCCGGGGTGGGTAGTACGGCTACGTGTAGCAAACTCGGCGCATCCGTTTCAATCACAGAGCGGCAAATCAACTTGCAGAGATTGAGCATGCTGACCCAATCTCCAACTGCCACATGTGTTTAGCCAAAGGCCAAAGCTCAAATCCTACGCCGAACGGCCTTCCTTTCTCGTATTGGGCCGCTTGCATTCCTCATGGGGAGAACCAAGTCAGTCCTTATCTCGGCGCCGGTCCGGCACCGTGGCCGGAACGATTCCGGCCACGCCCCACCTTTGCTGCCGAGGAGGGGCCGGCAAGCATCGGTTTAGAATGAACACTAACTCCCTGACCAACTCCAGATAACCATAGAAATGCGCTTGGAATGGGTCAAGTGAGGAGTTAAACCAACGCATTACGCCTTGGCTTGCAACCCCCTCCCTTTCCCTAGATCCGAGATTCCCCGCCCCTGCCGTCATGTTATCCGTTCCCATGACGGAACCCTGACCTGAGGTGCCGGACCTTACGAGCCGGGAGAGTTATGGCACCACTGCTCCGTGGGACAGGAAGAGAGAGAAGCCTTTATATTTTGCCATATCCCCAGTTACATTTACAAGGCCTCTTTTGACCGAAACTTCTCATTTTTCGCTCTCGTCACCATCATCTTCGACTTTATCGTACCGAACATCATCTCCAGCCGCGGTTGCGGAGGGGGTCGCTCCTCTCACCCGCCTCGCATTTTAGGGTTTTCGAGCTTATCCATGCGCGTGACATCCCTCGCAGAGCGAAAAGGAAATCCGTTTCATGACAAAGAGAAATTGGGCCGGATGCCCTCGGGCCATCGAACAATGTGGGCGCTGTGAAGCAAAAGCCACCGAGATGAATGGCTCTTTGCCCCTCATCGTGGCCGGAAATCATTCCGGCCACTGGGTACATTAGGCGGCGCGCGCAGCACCATGGGAGCTTCAAGTCCTCATTCCCCAAAAAACCCAGACTCCAGAGCACCTTCTGAATCTTCTTTCTGAATACCCTGGCGATCGAGCAATTCTGCACATACCCTGACCAAACTGCCCATTTTCCCCCCTTCATCACAACCCCTTTCAAGGTACACCAACACAACGCTTCAACATGGCTTCTGTGGCTACCCAGCACCAACCCATCCTCGTCCTGGACGACACCCGTCCGGATGACATGACGCTCCCAGCCTTCATGGTCTCCAAGACCCGGGGCTTCCTCCCCCGCATGGATCCCATCGTCCATCTTCCGGACGAGTTTGCCCAGGTCGAGTCGATCCTCGACCGCATGCCAGTCAAGAAGCTCGACGGCACTCCCGGTCTGCTGGCCGAGTCCAAGCTCGGGGACGTCGTGGAGAAGGAGTTGCAGGACCTAACGGACCACGTTGACAAGTACAAGAATAACTTGCCCGTCGTCAATGCTTTGTACCGTGATTACTCCTTCCTCGCTTCGGCCTATCTCCTCGAGCCTTGCCACGAGAGGTTCGTCAAGGGTGAGCCGTACGGGCTCGCGCGGCAGACACTCCCTGCCCAAGTCGCGCGGCCGATTGCCAAGTGCGCCGAGATGTAAGTGAACCAAACAACCCACTAGAGATACATCGCTTTAGATTCCCAAATGCTAATTATATTCCCCCCTAAATCCAGCGCCGGCTTCAAGCCCTGGATGGAGTACGCCGGCTCCTATGCCCTCTTCAACTACCGCCTCGTAGACCCCTCCGCTGGCCTCGAGTACTCCAATCTCCGCCTCATCCGCGCCTTCGAGGAAGGTCTGGACCACAACTCCTCCGAAGCGGGCTTCGTCCTCGTGCACATCGACATGGTCAAGAACTCAGGGCCCCTCGTCTCCGGCACCCTAGCCGCCCTCGACGCCCTGGACACAGCATCCACTTCTTCCCCGGCCACCCGCCGACAGGACTTCAACGCGGGCCTCCGCACCGTCTTGGAGACCATGCGCAAGGTCAACAAGACCATGGAGACCATGTGGGGCAAGTCCAAGCCTACGTCGTACACCAGCTTCCGCACCTTCATCTTCGGCATCACGTCGCAGTCCATGTTCCCCAACGGCGTGGTCTACGAGGGCGTCAACGACAACAAGCCCATGTCGTTCCGCGGCGAGAGCGGCGCCAACGACTCCATGATCCCCCTCATGGACAACCTGCTCTGCGTCACCATGCCCGACACCCCCCTCACCGAGATCCTCAAGGATTTTAGGGAGTACAGGCCCAGCAACCACCGCGCTTTCTTGCAGTTCGTCAAGGACCGCGCTTTGGAGGTCGATACTAAGGCTTTCGCCCTCGCCAAGGACTCCAATGATGCCGACGAGGACGTCCTCGAGTCGAGGCGGCTTTGGTTGCAGATTCTTTCCGAGGTGAGGGACTTTAGGTGGAGGCATTGGTGCTTCGCGAGGGAGTACATCATTAAGCGGACTTCGCATCCCACTGCTACCGGCGGCAGCCCCATTGTGACGTGGTTGCCGAACCAGCTCCAGGCTGTGCTCGATGAGATGGCAAAGGTCTACGATGAGGTTAGCGATAAGGGAGACCTCGGCGAAGAATGCCGCGACATCATGGACCTTGTGGGCCGGCAGAGGGAGACGCTGCGGAAGGAGGTGGAGAAGTATTGCGCCGAGAGGGGTGTGTCGAGGGAATAATGCAACTTCTTTGCAAAGGTTATCTGCTGCGGCAAGAGAATGGGCCTTGTGCCAGCGACGTTAGCCAGTGAGATTACGGCCAGAATGAAGATCAATATATCCCAAGTCCCAATCACAGCTCGGTCTCGTGAATCACAAACACCCGTGCACCTCCAGGGAGCGCCCAAATCACTCGTGGCTCGCATTCTTTTGTGACACTCGTTTGGTATCGGGGCATATATATATTAATAGACTTGTCAGCGTTCATATCCTAATCTTCCCAAGCCGCGTCCCACCAAAGCCGTGAACCCTATCGAGGGGATATATGTATAATACAAGCATTCAAATCCATGAATGTGAATAAAGAACAAGTATTGGTGTGTTTGCGTGTCCCATATACGCCATGTACCGTCGTGCCGTTTAACCCATGTCATATATGGTTAAAAAAAAAAAAAAAAGGAGAAAAAAAATACCAGAAAAGCATCATCACCAAAAACAAACACCAGCGGGGTTTCCTCCGCAATGATGGCCACTCGCCGAAATAGGAGCCGAAACGATAATAAAAGGAAGGAGGGGGGAGGAATGATGTGAAGGTGAGGCCCATCGTGGCATCGTACAATATTGTCTAGCGGTGCCGGTCTATGGCTTTGCTCGCCGTGAAGACTGAAGTGCCCGAGTTTAGGCGGCGGTACCAAAGCCGGCATCGTTGAGAGGCAAATAAATAAAAGGACCAACTGGTAAGGTCTGTCCATCTCAGTCGAACCGGTGAGTTGGCGAGGGTACGGACCGGTCGGAGGTGCGTAGGCATGCATCGTTTGCATTTATCGGCCGAGATTCCTTTATAAAGCCCAGAAGCCAGACATTTCGCTCGGGCGGATTTTTGTCTCGAGCGGGAGGGAGAATAATAAAAAAAAAAAAAAAAAAAAAAAAAAAAAAAAAAAAAAAAAAAAAAAAAAAGAAGAAGAAAGAGACTCAAAAGTCGTCAAATATCCCAGCAACGACCTCGAGCCGAACTCCGCCTGAACGCGTCGCCTACGAAAGGCCGCAGTTCTCAAAGTCCCTCACCATAACGGCAACCTGGGCCCTCTTCGCCGCCTCAGCAAGGAGCGTGAAGTCCCTCAGGAAGGGATCGGCCGAGTTTTGGCCTTGGGGGCGGGCCGGGAGAGCTGATGCGGGAGCGGAGGCGAAGGACTGGCTCGAAGAGGAGGCGAGGCTGAGAGGGGAGATGGCAGCGGCGGAGGAGCAGGCGGCGGAGCGCTGGACGGGAGAAGATATCGGGGCGTTCATCGTGGGCATGTTGTTTTATTTGTCGATGCTGAGTGTTGCGAGGGATGTTGGTTGGAGAGGAAGCGGTCGATATTAGCGGAAAAGATCCAAGTCCGTATTAATTTCAAATTCCCTCTCTTCTTCGTAATTTCGGGGAGAGGGAAGAATGACGGTTTCTACACTACTTGCGACTACTGTAGTAGATCAAGGGCAAGACACCATGTCACTTAAAGCAGGGCGACTCGGAGGAATGCTACTGCCAGGAAAGAAGCCAAAAACGAGTGCAAGGCAGGGCGAAGACAAATGACGCTCGAAGCGGAAGGTGGGGGTCGCGTTCGAGGCGTTCGAGGCGTTCGAGGCGTTCGAGGTTCAATTGAGGGTGTCCAAGTAATGAAAGAGGGCGCCAGTGCGGATGCAGAGAGCCGAGGAGTATCGGGGGCCTGGTCAGGTGTGACGGTCACACTGCCGATCTGATCGTGAGCTTCAAGGGCTTTCTTTGTCTCAAGAGTGTGTGTGTGTCGCCAGGATGGGTTGTATGGTCGCCGGCGAGAAGGAATGCCGGATCTTAGATCTTACTTTGTAGGTGGAGAGGGGGAAGGGAAAGAAGGTATAGATGTGAAAGGAAAGTACCGATCGGAATCCGGGGCGGCAGAGGGTTTTCGGGGAACCAAAAGTATTTATAAGTTTATAACAGGCACAGGATACGAGGAACTCTGGTGTAGCACGAGATAGCGCGGTTCTGGTTCTGGGCCTTTCCTCCGCTTTTGGACTTTTAGACCCTGGGACTTTGGACCTTGGCTCACTCAAAGTTCCAAAGTTATCTCCGTCTTGGTCTGGTGCTGGTGTCGACTCCCGAGTGTGGGTGAGTTTCGGTAGCTCGTAGCGATGACGCTGTCCCCACTCACTCTCCGCTTCTCTTCTGAAAAAGGGAGAGTCTAAGAAATTGGAGCAGCCACGCTAGTTTTCTCTCTTTTTGCGGAGCTGGCGTCGGCTATCGGAGACTCGGGGTTGGGGATCTTTGAGGCTCGGCTTCACTTCCCTGTCTGTCTTGTCTGTCCTTGGACCCACGTGTTGGAGATTTATTTGCGGCTGTACGAAGTACACTACTTCGAGAAGATAACCGGATGGCGAAAAGTGAGAGAACCAATAGATGCGGAGATGTGAGGCGACGAAGAGCAAGAAAGACGAGGACCTGACGAGGATCCTGTGGACAGGATCTGTGGACAGAGAGGGCAGGAAGAAAAAAGCATCAAGTAAGGCAGACGAGAGGGCAGACACAACACATCCCAGATGCAATGATATATACCCGAGTCTGAGAAGTAGGAGACCTCGATATCCACGAATAGAACATCATTACTCTGTACTTCGTAGACACGGATTCAATTTCTTCGCGCAAGGAGACATCTACGCTACACTACATTGCATCGATCTGCATTCGCCAATATATCAATGTCGCATCGGAACCCGCATCAACGTGGTTGGAAATGGTCCATGGAAAATGCAAAATGGAAAACGGAAGATCCAGGATCAAAATCTTGAGGCGACTTGAAGACTGGAGCATCAATTGGTCCATATCCGTGTACTTGGATAATTAATACATTTGGCACCCATCCATCTCATCCATCCCATGCCAAACGAGGCTGCCTGGGCCGGAAGGGGACGGAAGGACACGGAATTGAAGCGTTGGCCTGGCGAGATAAAAAGAGGACACATTTTGGAACACGAGCATGAGTAAGAGTGAGAGTGAGGACGCGGAAGAACTCCCGAGTCTTTGCGAATCTTTACGAATCCTTGGATGTATTTTAGGGTCATGTCCACTTCATGTTGCATCTGTTGCATCTCAGCCTGGCAAAGAGGCTAAACGGATAACCCGGGGGCAGACTTTGGGCTAGAAATTGCAGAGATTGTCTCGCCTGCCTGGTTCCAGGAGGATGTCGCCATTCGCCCGCCCTCGGATTTTCTTCACTCCCTTGACCAGCAAAGGTAAATCTGGCGATAAGTTCGTCTAAAAAGTGCCCGGTCTTCTCCCTTCTACGGCTTTTTTCTCCCCGCAAGAGCCCTGCCGTCGAGGTTCCAGAAAAACATGGCCAGACGAGGGTTCGATCATGCTTCCAGAAATGTGTGCTCATGGGATCACCGGTCCGGATTCGCCAGCCCGAAGTGATCAAGGACGGACAAAAGGGGGGAAAAATACTATACCCGTCTGTAGAATTGCCTTTGCCTCGGGGAATTTCCACCACTGCATACACGTACATATATTTATATTTACAAGGGCGGCGACAGAAAACCCAACCACGGATATGGAAGGCGGCAGACATACCCGGCCGCACTAACAGGATCGCGATATTGCGCGATTGAGATTGCGATTACAGGCTGGCCCAGTGCTTGACCGAAGTGAGCCAGCGCGTGCCGAGACTTGAGAGGTCAGAGAGCCGGAAGAGCCTCCGAAGACATCATTGCCGAGGACAATAATACGGGGAGGAGATCATTCTCCAAGCCAGCTGGGCGGTATCCAAAGATCGTCGCCATCTTTACGCCAACTACATGTGCAACAAAGTATGGCATGCCAACCACATGTACAACGAACTATGGCTTTCCACGTACTTTCGTATGCACTCCTCCCATTTTCATCTGGCAAGATTCCATCCCGGGCAACCGGTTCATCGATCCCATAGCCTATAGCGTATATTCCGCGAAACACTCGCCAAACAAGATCGATCGATTTTGCCCCCAATGAGGATCGAGATAAGGGGTGAAGTGGTGAAGTGACAGTAAGGCCGAGATAGGGAAGCGCAAGATTATGCAGTGCTAGATGGGGGTCGCCAGATTGGGTTCCATAGGGCCAAGAAAAACTCACCAGGGCGCCCTGTACGACCGAAATCCTCCGTGCTACCACGTCGCTCGTCCGAGTCGTACCTCGTATGTGGCAAGGGTCGCCGGCCGGAGAGGACCGGAACCGAAAAGAAAAAAAAAAAAAAAAAATTGAAGGTCAACCACTACGAAGGAAGAAGTAAGGGGGCCTCTATGGCGTGAGGGTCGGAGTGGAGATGGAGACGAGCAGTCATCTTTCAAGGCTGGGACTCCGAGCCTCCATCATCGGACGTGGTGATGCGATAATGCATCGTACTCCCTTCCGAGTGGTCACCGTATGTGTACATGTAAATGCGGGTTTGTTTGATGGGGGGATGATGGTGGGGGGGAAGGATATGAGGTTGATACTCGAAAAAGCTGTCAACGAAGCGGCACAAGTATTGCTCGCCATCAACTTGCCCGTCCGTACGATCATCTCACGCAGGGGCAACTCTAAAACCACGGGGCAAATATTAGAAGGAAATTGGAGACTCTCCTCCGCTAGGCCAGCAATCAGCCTTGCTCGTAAAGCGCTAGCCCGCTTAGACCAGTCCAACACCAGTGCCGGACCTCGGTCCGTAACTGCCAGCAAGGTCATCTGGTATAGATGGACTGGATCAGAGATGTCTCAATACCTCCTCTGCCACATTTCCATTCCTCTTCCAGGATGGACCGATCTAATTCTTCCGGCCTCCATTATCCACCATGACGGCCAACATGACACTAGTCGTAGAGAAATCCATATAAATATCCAGAGCCTCTTGCGGCCTGTCAGATGATCAAAAAAAGAGTCGTGCGGGCCAAGGGAACTGAAAAGACATCCACGATGCGGCTTTCCTTTGAAGATTTTTTACATCTGCACTTTATGACTATGATAGAAAACCCAATTCTTGTCCGGAATTTAGACCTATGTACTTCGTATATAGGTCCCTTGGATTAGATTAGAGTAGCATCGAAAGAGGATGTCTCCGCTCGCTTAAGAACCCTTGACATCTTTAATGGAGAAATCTGCCCGCACCATCTCTACACAACACTACCATCTTGCTCTCCCCACCACGACTGCTACCATGAGTTGGAAGCAGCCTTGAAGGTCTATGCCACGTAACTATCACTTTTGGTGAGAGTTGCCTCGCTTTCTTTCCTCTACTCGGCAATGGACTTTTTCGAGTCAAGACTTCAGGCCGGCAGTCGGTCATCTTGGTTCCCTGATTCCCTGACGTGATCGTTAGTTCCTCAAGCCAAAGCAGGCAAGCAGTGGGCAATGCGCAATGGGCCATGGTGGGCCATGGTGGGCCATGGATTCGACTTAGTGAACAAGTCGGGAACCACCTCAAGTTCAAGATGCCGTCTCTCTCTCGTTCAAACACAAACCAAGGCCAGTGAAGCCCGAACATGTGAAAGCGCCAGAAGCCGACCAGGACCGGGTTCGGGCTAGCAGGATCACGGATAGCTTTTCTCCCTTTCCCTCGTTTGGATGCTTGGGCGATCCGCTTCTAGTAAAGTGACGTCTTCTAATCGCCGACTCGGCTGGAGAGGGTAGCGGTGATATCGGCAGTCGCTCTTCTGTGTCTTGGACAACATTTGATGATGAGCACCGATCAAAAAAGACCCTGATGAGTTGGACCCCTCAAAGCAAATTGGGAAGCCAAACTCCGCAAAAAAAAAGTGACGAGCAAACTCTATCTCTCTGACTCGTCCTCGCCTCGGGGCGATCCGGCTATCATCCAGACATACTTTCTTTCAGCCGCCTTCTCCTCACTCGGTTGAACACAATTGAAGCCTCCAGTTGCATTACGTGAGCAACAAGCTTTCGCCCCGTCGCGCCCATCGCGCCCATCGCGCCCATCGCCTACCGAGGTTAACCTGCCCCAAGCTCCAAGCTTCCAAAGGAGCGGAGCTTCAGCTCCATCATCAAGATGGTCGGCGATCATCGTAGCAAGACCAAACTTCTCTCGCTTCCGCCCATGCCGGGAGAGAAGGGGACAAAGCCAGATTAAATCAAAACCAAATTCATACTTTCTCGTAAACTCAATACTCACCATGAAGACCATCATCACTTACCAAACCCTCGTAAACTCCTCCCGGTCTCGCACCAGAACAGCCGCCCAGTCCCTCCGCCAGTCCCGCCCGTCCCCCGCCTCCACACCCCGTCCGCACCTCCCGCACTTGTACCCCTCATCAAGAACCGCCATGAGCCTCCCCCCACTACGACCCGGCTCAACCACTGCTGCCACCACCACCACCACCACCACCACCACCACCAAATTCCTCACCACCGCAGCGAGAAAGTCAAGCTATTGCACCATCGCCCCTGCAACTGCTGAACCACCACAATCGCCCCAAAAGCCACCAACATCGCCCACAGTCACACCCACCATGAACCCAGCCGAAGTCATCGCCTCCACATTCCGGGACGTCCCCGCCGAATCCCACGGCCCAATGTGGGAGCGTCTCTGGACCCAAAGCGTCACCCCCTGGGACCGCGCCGGCCCCAGCATGCCGCTGCACGACCTCCTTGCCGAGCGCACCTCCCTTCTCGGCCCCGCCGCCCCTACTGCCGCCTCCGGTAACAAGCGGAAGACGGCTCTGGTCCCGGGCTGCGGTAAAGGCCACGATGTACTTCTACTCGCCTCTTGGGGGTACGACGTCGTCGGTTTGGATCTGGCGGAGACGGCCTTGAAGGAGGCGAGGGAGAATGCTGAGGCTGTTAAGGACTCGGGCGCGTATAAGCTGCAGGAGGGTGTGCAGGAGAGGGGTAAGATCACTTGGGCGCTGGGTGACTTTTTTGCGGATGACTTCCTGAAGGAGGCGGGCGTTGAGAACTTTGATCTCATCTTTGATTTTACCGTAAGCTTCTCCTTCTTGTTTTTCCAGTTCCCTTTTTATGCTCTGTTCTCTAGAAATGTGTTTGGGTTTGTTTTCCTTGCTATAAACAATGTTGCCTATATACCTGAAAATGCCATATCCCGCGCCCCCTCCGTGATAAATTGCTACATCCCATGTATGTTCACCCAGGCTAACCTACAACCCCCCATTCTAGTTCTCCTGTGCCCTCCCCATGTCTCTCAGACCCAAATGGGCTGCCCGCCAAGCCCAGCTCCTCGGCCCCGAAGGCCGCCTCGTCATCCTCCAGTTCCCCAACGGCAAACCCCTTTCCCTCCAGGGTCCCCCCTGGGGCGTCAACTCCGACATGTACCTCGCCCTGCTGTCGCGCCCCGGCGAGGAAATCTCCATCGACGAGGACGGAAACGTAAAAGAGCCCGAGAAGATCGAGAGGCGCGAGGACGGGCTGAAGAGGTTGGATCTGTATACTCCGAAGAGGACGCACGTTATCGGGGTTGCGGAGGATGGGACTATTACTGATCGGGTGTCGGTTTGGGCTCATTGACCGTGGGTCGCCTTTATGTCTGTATATAGGGGAAGACCAATGCTCGTATGCGCCCCAATTAGCGCTGAGTTGTATGTAGGTGCATTGAACAAAGAAAAGAAAGAAAAACCCTGCCAGCTCAGGGAGCCTTCCTCAACGAGTTGTAGTGCTCTCCAAGCCCATACCCGTGCCTGTAATACGCAAGCCAAATCTCCACCGGCTCCTTCTCGCCATCCCGACCCTCGGACGGCCTAATCTTCTCCGTCGGCCCATTCTGCACCACGTTGATCTGCACATTATACGCATTCGCCAACGCCAACAACTCCACCTGCCCACCCCACTCCGCCGTATCCCTCATCTTCCGCACATATCCCTCCAGATCCTCCTCCAAGAACGGCGCAAAGTCATCGGCGTGGTCCTCGATCCACCCGGCCGCCACCGCCCTAACGACCTTGTACCCGGGCGCCTTTCCCTCTTCCGCCTGTTTCTCAGCAAGTAGAGGCACGCCGCGCTGCTCTAGCTGATCCGCTATGGCACTGAACAGGCAGTGGCCGTCCGGGCGAATCTCCTTCTCCGAAAGTGAATTCGCCTTGAACGTTCCCTCCATGGCTGCCCGCTCGATACCCCTGTGATCAACCATGTTCGCCGCCTCAGACTCCGCTGCCTCGGCTGCCGCAAGTTGTTCGGCCGCCCGCCTGGCTAACCTCTCCCTCTGCCGGTTCCGCTTCTTGGGACCCTGCGTTTCCTGCGCGGGTTGCGGCTCCCTGGCCGGCGGCACATTCTCAAACCTTACTTGTTTAATCTTTTCTACCAGAACTTCTTCTCCGTGTCCCTCCTCTGTCCTATTAACATTATCATCCTCGTTCGGCTCGGACTCATTGTCACCATCGCCCACGAGGGAAGCTAGCTCGGCAGTGTGCTTCGAGGCAAGTTGTCGCTCGAGCTCGGCGCATTCGTCATTGACGCCCTTTCTTGTCTTCTTCGTCGCGTTCTTCTTCTTGTTCGTTATTCGGCCTTGGAGATCTTTCTTCTCCTTGCGGTGCCGCGCTTGCATCTCTTCGAGGGTCTCCATGGTTGGCAGAGGGCGGCGGGGGAAGAGGGAGGGGGGGAAGAGTCGCGGGTTCAAAAAATAGCTCGAGTTCGTAGTGACCTCTCGGAGATAGAGGGTTTCTGAGGTGGATGGACAATACGGATATTCCCTCTTGCTGCTTGACGCGTGTGATTTTGTTGATCTCGTTTCGTTGACTCGCTTGCGTTGAGAACTTTTTTTTTTCTCTTTCTGGTTCAAGATTGTGTTGACAAAGTTTATGGTGGGGTAATAAATTTGGCGGTCTTGGTGCCTTTGACATTGACATCTGCCAATGCGGGGCTGCTTTGCCTCTCCAGAGCCCAAAGACTCGACTCACTACAACACCGCGAGTTTGACAGACTTGAGGTCCAACGCAAACAGATTCAACATGTGAAATGCACGCAACTAAAGTACAAGAAATTCATTCGGCTACGCCGCTGTGATCATGCAGTATCAAGCCCTCTTTACATCTCTCTACATACCTCTCAGGTCTGGTTGCAGCTGGCACCCTTGCCCCGAATACATCCATGCAGGTGGTGTATCATCAGCCTGCAACATCCAGCTCGGAGAAACAGTCATCGAATTATTCCCAGAAAATAAAATAAAATAAAAAAAGACACCAGATGAGACGACAAAAGATGAAATGAAATAGGTGTTTAGGTATCCTTGTTCCTCCAGATAAATCATCACTTTCCAAAATCTTTTAGGTATAAAACCGTTCTCATAGTCCAACTCGACCTCCGCATACACTTTCTAAATAGAACATAGAATAAAGGACATGCCCAGAGCCGAACGGTAAAGTGCCGTCCTTCCCCGGGGTTCGAAACAAAACTTGGCTTGGCGCGGAATGGTTGGCCGACTTTATCGTCTCGCGAAGCAGCACATGAGACCAGTCTTGCCAAGGAACCAGAGGAAACCGAAGAAGCGGACGAGCGAGAGGACCGCAGTGGCATAAAGAAGGAACTTGAAGAAACCAGCGGTACGGGAGGAGGCAGTATCCTGTCAAGAGTAAATTTGTTAGCGCGGATGCGAGGCAGATCTTGTTTTATACGAACGATGTAATCACTTACGCCGATGCCAAACGAGTTGAAGTTGTCGCTCGTGATGATGACGATCAGGAGAGCGTTGGAGAAGAGCCAGCACACAACCAGACCGGTTCTGAAAGACTTGTACGAATCCTCGACATCCTTGGCCTCGATCTCCTCGGCTGCCGAGAACGGCTCGAGAGCTCTCTTGACAGTCTGCTCGAACTGAATATCGATATCCTCCTGGGGTTTGTCAATCTCCTCGACAACTGCCTCGTTCTTCTCGCCCTTGCTCACGTGGGCAGACGGGAGCGCCTCGGCCTTGTCCGAGCCCTTGGTACCCCACGAGACGTCATGCCAGTTGTTGAAGGCGTACACCATGAGAACGTTCACGTACGTCGACATGAGCAGAAGATAAGAGGGGAACGAGTGGAACATGTGCCACGGGTCGAGGTAGAGGAACGAAGCCAGGAAGTAAAGACCGTAGATGGTAACGAGAGCGACGATGATGACACCGGCAGCGGACTCGCCGAAGAAACTCTTGACAAAATCCTCTCCGCTCGCCAGGCTGATCTGGTCTCCGATGCCGCCGCTAAACGCGCGGGCGACGAGGTAACCAGACAACACAAGAATGTAACCTTGAATGATGGCGAAGACGATAAAGGACAAGATGTATTGGTACTTGGAACCCTTGGGTCGGTTACCAAGAGCCAGGATGAACTGTAGAATGACAAAGGCGAGGTAAAGGTATTTCAGGATAGCGTTGATGAGTGGCGTAGCTGAATCTCCGAAGGGCCAGGCGTGGTGCTCGGCGCTCTCGCTGCCACCAGGGACGGGGGTACCGACGAGATCCATGATAACCGTTGTCGTGAGGTAGTACGATGCCAAACTGAACCAGGTGAAGATGACGTTGAGAACGTTGTAGATGAGTTGAACGTGGAGGAAGAACATGCGGATGATGTTGTGGCTCGACTTGTACATTCGTCCGAAGTGCATCAGCGAGTAAAGGGAGGCGGCGAACGAGCCGTTGAGCCAACGACGACGCTGCGAGATGAATTCGGCAGCGCCTTCAGGCACATCAGTCTCACCCTTGGCAGCCTTGATGTAGCTTAGATGCCACTTCTGTCCAGCCTTCGCGACCAACTCGAAGCAGAGAATACGGTCCTCGGCCAAGAACATGTTCTTCTTGAAGATGTTCATACCATCAATACCCTTCTTCCCGAGGCGCTTTGACAATGTGTGGTCACCATGAAAGTATTGGTCCAAGGGACGTCCCATGATAGCTCTGTATCGGTATGCAGAGAAAGCACCGGGCAACACACTAACATAACCGAAAGCGCTCTCGAGGGGCTTATCAAGAATGTTGGAGATCTTGTACTCGAAGTTTTGGACAGAGACGAGGGGGTTGATCAGCTTCTTTCCGCCCTTACCCAACATGGCGTGAATTTCACCGCAAGCACCTCCCAAGTCCTTGTCGTTGTAGAAACCCTCCCAAAGTGCAAGGAGTGACTTGGGACTGGGTTTAGTACCGGCGTCCAGCAGAATGCACACCTCGGGGTTGAGGATGCGGCCGAACGCGTTGAAGAGCCATCGATGGGAGTTAATCTTCTTGCTGTTCTTCTGCTTCAGACAGAAGATGAACTGGACAGGAGGAAGAGTTTGGGGGCTGTCGTCCATAGGCCGGATAAGCTGCTGGCTAGGCGTCACGGACAGTTGCGTCGTGTACTCAAAAATATGCGCCACCGTCTCCTTGCTGTCGACGTCCTTCTTGACGACACCGTCCTGGTAAATACCAATGGTGGCCAAGACGTCCAGGACGTTCTTGTCCGTCTTTTCGATACCATCGAAGACCAAGCAGACAACAATTTTCTGCCAAGCAGGACCACCCTTGTTCCAGAACACCGACTTCTTCAGGTTCACGATATCTCTTATGTTTTGCATGACACCGTGAAGAGTTCGGGACAGGAGCAACTTGTCTTCGTTGTAGTAGGTAATGGCGATGAGAAGCTCAGTGTGACGGTTATACATCCTCGGCCGGAGATCGTAACCGTTCTTGAGGGTGAAGTCGTCTGGATCGCACGTAGCAGCGGTATACCTCATCTTAATGAATTCATCCGAGCCACCCTCGCTATCTCGATACTTGGGTTGAACGGCATTTCGGATGGCACTAGGCACTGGGTAGTCGATGCTCAGGACGGAGCCCTGCACGAGCTTGACCTTACGGGTGGCATATCGCTTCAAACCACCGCCAGGGGCCATGTTCGGCTGCTGTCTTCGAACCCAACTGTCGTTGGCATCCACATGGGAGACCGGCCTGTCGCCATAGCCATATCCACCAGTGGCATCGTAGCCGGTGGAATAGCCCTGGCCTCCTCCGTATGTTTCGCCAAACCCCGGCGTAGGGGTCTGGCTATGCGCACCCGGTGCATAGGTTTCGGTTAAGCTGTAAGCAGAAACCGGTCGCAGAGGGGGGTTGTTGGCACCGAGGTACGCGTTATCGTAGCCCTGTTGTGGGTGCGGATCTCTGAGTAGGGAACGCTCGACTTCTTCGTCATGGCCGTCTCCCTGAGGTGGGATGTGGTACTGTCAATTGGCGTGGCCCTGCGCGTTAGTTGAAACTCTCTTGTTGATTCTGACCCTGAATTGCCACCCCCAAGGTTTGACGGTTACAGAGTAGAGTTTACTAGTGATTGACAACTCACACTTTGACCCGGAGGAAGGTCCTGTAGAGGTTGGCCATACTCCTGGCCGCGACCACCACCCTGGTACGCCATATTTCAGGTGAAGGGGAACCTTGAGCCTCGAGAAACAGACTCGGTTCGAGAGTGTATCGGAGCGACGCTTCAGAGAATTTCGGGATGGCACGACAAGCGAGGGATTTGTCGAGCTTCGAGGTCGATGGTATTCAACACCAACGGTTTGATGTAGTGGGTTGTCGGGATGGATAGGATAAAGATTGGGAAAGAAAAAAAAAATAGGGGAAGGGGTTTCGTCAAGACGCTGGGTCAAGCTGAGGCAAGGCTTTCCGAACGGACGCAACGGCTACAGTACATTAAATTGTTCCTGCTCCACTGTTTGGCTGGGAACTCGTAAGCAGGGGGAGCTGTAGACAAGCGCTGTGTTAAGAAGAAGAAAAAAAAGGAAAGAAACAAAAGAACAAAAAAGAGGGAACAAACTAGATGGGCTTCTCCGATCTTTGTTCCTGGCTTTCTTGGAAGCAAGAAAGAGATGCTGTGGCTTTAAAGGAGGGTCAAGGCCAAGGGGAGGGAGCTGAAGAAATTCTTTGAAAACTACTCCAAACACAGAGTAGGGGGACGGATCTTGGATGGGCTGGGCAGAGCTTGAGGGCCAAAGGGGAATCCCAGACCGGACTGAGGGCTGATGGCTGATGGCTGGACGGATGCTGGGAATTTTTTTTTTCCTGGCTCTCCAGCCCAAACCCACATAGGAATTGCAGTGATCCGTATTACGATTGACGCTGGATTCGTGGCTGAGCAGGGAACTGGTAAAAACGTGCATTTCGAGCACAGTTAAGCACGAGGTACTTCGTACAAACCAAAAAGGGACAGACCAGGGGTCCCTAAGTCCTACCAAGCACACTACCATCAACCACCATCAAATCCGCCATCAAATCTACCAGATGACTTACCTCCAAGACCTCCGCCAGTGAGTGTTGCAAAAAGGTGTGGCTCTTCCGCATTCCAACACATCGCAAAGCGGAGACAAAACTAAGCTTCCCTGAGTGTAAAGCACTGCGATTCATCTGGAGGCTGTCCTTTTGTCCCCCATCTTTTTCTTCGATCCTTTGACAGGCAATGCTGGAACACTGGAAGAAGCGGCAGAGAGTACAAAGGTACAAATGCCCAAGGAAGATTTTCCAATCCACGATTCGAGGTACAAACCACACTTGACATGTACCCCGTATTGCCTAGAACAGATACTGTCTTCATAAAGAAACAAACATGCGACGTACAGTGCAAAATTAATTCCTCTGCCTCGTTCGCGCTAAATCCCAAGTCACTTCCCCATCTTCCAGGATTCCATGCTGAGGCGGACGCTACCCCTGACGCCGCCGTTTCGAGACTTTCCATGGCGTCAGCCATAATCAAGGCATTTGTATGAAGTGCTTCGTGCAGACGAAGCAGCGAAAGAGAGGGGAAGAGTATTCAAAGGTCTGCGATCCCAATCCTAACTGAGGTTTCGAAGACCAAAACAAAGCCATTCAAATCTCCAACTGGAATCAAATGTAGTCAGGAATGGCTACGACGTGGCTAGAGTCAACTCGAGCCACGCCCATCTACTTCATACGGGAAGGATAGATTTTAGGACGGGCGCCCTTTCGGCCGACCTTTGTTCCTCTTCCCGTCACTCACTCACCTCCCCAAGACGAGCATCAACACCCAACGCGAATCCGGTATGCTATACAGCCTCTTAGTTGACTAGACAAGATCAGCCTCACCACAAAGCGACTCAAATGGAGGATAAGCTGTATATTGCCCCTCACCTCTCATCGGCGAGGTCTCGTCGCAACGCACTCTCAATCCATCTCACATGCAGAGCAGCCTAGAAGGCGACTAGAGACCCGACTCCCAATGGGCTTTGCATATTCCTCCGCAGACGTTTCTCTAATTGGATGTGGCTTGGCTTGGGCTGGGCACATGCTGCTGCAGGTTGGCAATAATTCTTACAGACAAAGCATTTCGTTTCCGTTCTGCCTGTTATCAGAAACTTCAGCCGCCCATCAGGCTTGCTCTGTCTTTGCCTCTTTGACGTCCCTCGTCATGCGCGCATCTCCCCTTATCAAAGGGGCCGTCAATCAAACTCTCGCGAAAGTCAAGAACACTCATTTCAATCAGGATCACAACAGCTTTGTTCAAGACTCGACCCATTTCTTGCACACTCGAACAACATGAGAACAAAAGGAACGAAAGCCACTTCGGCCTTGGTGACTTCGGAAATCGACTTTTGCGGAATATCTGATCCCAAAGCGCGAAATGACAAGGACCAACCAACCCCTGCGAAAGGAGCTCGGAGAAGACGACAATAATATGTCTTTGAGAGGGAGCCGCATTTGGCAACCAGTTCTGAGGCTGATGAGGCGGTGCACCGGGGGTCATCGTCGTGAGACCACCACCTTTACTCCAGGTGGGTAAGCGTATTTCGTACGCTCCAGTGCGACGTGTTTTTAGCGTATCTCGTAGCGTGATTTGAGCCAAATTTAGAAGTAGGAAGGCTCAGGAGTCGGGCATTGTCAACACAGGCGGAAAACCCCGTTCCCCCTTCCACACGCCCAGGGTCAGGACACAGCAGCAATGAAGGGAGACCGTCTGGTCTAACCTTAAGAGCAGAGGGATCGCAGCAGATGCTTGAACCCGAGGCTCATCGTCGTCGTTTGTTTGTTTGGTTCGGCTTGCCATGTGCGTTCGCGACCTTCCGATCTGGCCTACCGTGTCTCACCCGCCGACCATTCGTGTGAAGGAAACAAGGTCTCACGGGCAAAGCCACCCGGCCATTTGAACCCGACCCGAAGTCGTAATTATCACGTCGCAGAAGCTATCAACTTCAATGCGTGCTATCCCCGCAGCGCACCGGAGGGAACCCAATCTTTTGTCACTTGGGAAAAGAAAGTCATCAAATGATCTAATGTTGGTTTCTTGATTCCCACCAGACCGAGACCCTAGGAGTAGTTTACGTGCGAAGTACATCCTCGTTCCCTTTATCTTTGATCTTTGTCTTGGTCAAGTATCACTGGAGTTCTGAGGTCATTGGAGAAGTGTGGGATTAAAGGAAAGACGATAGACCCGCCTCCCTTGTTTCAAGTGTTCAACCCTCAAATGTCCAGCCCTCTGTTGTGAGCTCATCGGCTGTCTGTCAGTCGTGTCTCCATTAAATCCACATCGACGGGTCCACCAGCGTCCCCTTCCATTGCCGTGACTTGTGGCAGCGCCCAGTGCCGTCGAACTAGCGCCAGTGGTGTTAGCGCAAACTCTCACAGAACCTTTCGATTGATTTCTTTGAATCTTTAGCCTGAAGATCCCTCAGGGGCAAAAACTTGGCTGCAGCATCCCGCGCCTTCTTTTTCACTCGCAGAAGGGTCTTCGTCATCCAACAGCTCGGGATGGGATGGGTCGTTCATCAATATCCGTGGGTATTCTTCTATCGTTTCCAAGGCAAAGCTTGAAGAAATCCAGATATTTATATTGCGTTCCCACGATGGTTGGTATTCCAGGGATGATAACGCACGCATTTTTACTAAGGTACAATCGTTACCATTGCTCTGTTCCATGTTGAAGCGATCCCATATTGAAATACACCTCGATGCAGTGCAGCATGATGATCTGCAAGGCACGACGACGTCGGTTTACAGTACACTACAGCGGCTAAGGGGAAGGGGCAGGGCCCGTATTTCTGAGATAGAAACTACAATCCTTCAAAACCAGCGTGCTACATTACCATACTATCCAGTAGATTCGTTGAATGGCGAACGATGGCGGGTGGTTCGTCTTGACACTATCGTGGGGTTGGGTAGGTGAGAAGAGAGTGCCACACCAATGGGCCAACATCGCCCTTCCATGGGATAGGAACATCGAGGCTCGAGAACCTCGCCCGTAGCCGGTGACGCTATTCACGATCGGCGGTAATTTGGACCCGGTTCGCCTGTTCCTGTCTGCGCCCAGGAATCAAGAGCGATCCAGTAAACAGAGTGCAGTAATACACAGCTTCGTTATGACCACATACACATACGAATATGGCGAGATCCTCCTGCATATAGGTAGGGACCGAACCTTGGCACATCACCAAAAAGCCCTTGCAAGGCGAGAGCGCCCTTCGGAAGATTCTTCCAGATCACTTGCGGAAGCTGTTCTCCTCGATTGGTCGGGCGGGTAATTAAGAACGATTAGAACATTTAAGCAATAAACCCTGCTTGCTCACGTACACGTTCAACACTGGCTCAAGATTAAATTACTGCACCTGGAAGCAAAATGGGTTACGGAAGAGCAATATAATACCCCTCAGCCCGTCTTTATTGGCTCTTCCTGAGAGTGTTAATACCCGTACTTGTAAGTTCCTTGTGGATCATCGCAATGATGAGCTGGTTCGGATCTCTCACACTGTCGACGGGGAAAAGAAGCTCAATTGCCGGGCCGAACGAACTCGACCTCCAGGGCTAGGACCAGCTATATAAGAGCATTCGTAATTGATCGCGGAACCCAGTTACATCGTAGATATTATCTCGTCGTATCCTATGAATATGGTTCGAGTTTCTCAGTGGAGATTCCAAGGCTCTACCTTTTGACAAGATGTGGAAAGAGGCAGGAAACAAGAGCCACACAGCCAGCTCATGTTTCATACTCTAGCGACCTTCCAGTTCGGTCATGGGGAGGTCGCGTGTGAGACAGTCATCTGAGCAGCGGGAGAAAATATGTTGTGTCCTCCTCCCGAGGTAGACGGTAAGGAATGGTGTGCCACTCGTCGAGACGGCACCTCTTGCAGAAGCGAATCTGTCGTGGACACACTGTTCCCGGAGGTGAGTCTCCAAGAGGGAGGGGTCACTCCAAGTGCAAATACACGCTTTTTACTCATATGAACACGCGTCCGGCCCCGGAACATTAAATGACACCATACTCGAGAGAAGAGAGAAGAGCAAAAGAGAAGACAGGAAAAAGTGATCAATGTTTTTGGCCTGCTGTGTAACCCAAAATAGCAATACTACAACAGAGAAAAAGGAAAAGATCCAGATGTCGAATTGGGGAATATGGCATTGATCGCAATAAAAGTGATCTCGGTCACCATCAATATCGCCGATTCGGAGGATTTTGTGGTCAAGGAATCCATATCCCCGTATGAAGTAGAACAGGAGAGACTGTCTGCTCCATCGAACGTTCTTTCCTGTCAGATATGAGCTAGGATCAAATAGGATACGGTAGGGCTAAGATGTTAAAGGAATGTGAATGGGCAGCACCAATGACGGACACCAACACGCCCAGCTTCTGAGATTCGGCTCTGATCAATATTGATCCTGTTGATTTACTTCGTATTTGACCATTGATCGATGCTCTCATGTTGTATCCTGCTTGTATCTCGGAGAGTAAATTGGTACTAATCAGACCTTAATATGCATGTGGCACTCTCGGTTGGAGAGAACATTGAACCTATTAATAAAATGCTACCTGTCGCTACCCATTCTCGTCATCGGCTGATTTGATTGAGAGAGGATACAAATATCGACTCGTCCAAGCAAGACGGACTTGGCGACCGTTGCTATTGTTAGGGTTTGAAGTAGACTCCCAGGTTTGGGAAGCGATTAAGGTACACACTACACTATTCAACAATAGTCTGGGCTGGTTTATGCTATATCTGGGTGTACCTGGCTCCGAAGTGGGGCGCAAGGGAATGTGCCTGGCGAATGAGATGGCGGAAATCCCATCCACCCACAGTGTGTCGCCCTTGGATTTCGCAAGCCATGGATCTTCTGTCATCTCGAATGTACCCTAAGGCTGTACAAATACATCTAACTGCACTTCAAAATACCAGTCGGTCTTGGTACCCATACTCCTGTCAACTGCGGCAGTTCCTGTTCCTGTACAGTTGTACCTGCGCTATTACTCAGGACATTGCACGACCAAAGTAAGTGGAATTAAGTACGAAGGATGGTACGGGAGATACGGTACAATACCTCGTTTTCCCCTTCTCCGCACTCAGCAGCCCATAGAATGTGGTTTTGTAGAGGTAGTCTGTGGTACAGCGGTTGTAGAGTGGCAGCAAAGTGAACCCCCCCCTTCGGACCAAACTCTTTTTGATCTGGTCGACTCCGCCCTTCTCGATCCTCTCCATTGCCCATCCTTTTTGTCCTCCGCTCTTCCGCCTCTTGCCTCCTGTCATCTCCCGTCAAAATTCAAATCGCAGCACAGGCGACGGTATCTCCCTCACGAACTTCTTATCGAGTCTCCTGTTTCCATGTAAACTCCTCGCGAAAACCTCTTGCCGGACGTTCGATCAATGCCACTCATGAGGCATTTCTAACTGCTCGATTTTCCACTGTCCCTTTTCTTCGCTTCAATTCTCGGGCTTGTCCCTCGTCATTCGTTTACCAACCTTTAACTCTCTCTCATCTACGAGCATCGCCTCGGGGGCTTGACTGGTCTCGTCCTAGATAAACCTTCTTGCCTTTCCTTCGTTTCCGTCTTTTGCTTTACATCCGATCAGCCTTGCTATACTAGATTCCACGACCTGCACTTTCCTGTCTCTCCGAAATACGACTTTCCCTTCGATACCCTCAGCGCCGTCCAGTGGAGCTCCGATCTTCGAAACGATCGACACACCCAGTCTCATACCTTTTCACCCGTCGATCATCACCGTTTACAGCGTCAACCTACCAACCTCCCTCCCCGACAACCAAAAAATGGGCGACGAGTTGAATCCGCTCGTCATCGTGACGTCCGATGAACAGGTATTTTATGAAGGTAAGCCTCACTCAAGTCTTATCGTAACGCGGCCCCTACTTGAAAGCACTTGTCTCGTATTGACTAACGCCTTTTATCCAGCCCTACGAGCCCGTGAGTTATATCCTCGAGACGACGACAACGAGACCTGTGTGAAGTGCGCGACGAACGGACGCCTCGTGTGCGATGCCTCGTGTGACGAGACCCAAGGATGGGTATGCAAGCAGGTGGTCAAGGTGGACAACTGCAAGGAGTGCCCGACCACGAAATGTGTTCAGGAATCCCAAGTCGACACTCCCATCGCAGAACCTGTTCAATCACACTCAAACGGGCCGAGTGCCGGCGTTATCGTGGGTGCCGTAATTGGCGGTGTTGTTGGAATTGCAGCAATCACCTATCTCATTTGGAGGTTCTGCATCAAGAACAAACGGCATACACTCGAGCCAGTCGCCTACGACGACATTACGGAGCAGAAGTTAGAAGCCGAGCGTGCCTTCCAGGCCCGCCGAGACCAACGGTCGTCGATGCACACCGTCCACTCAATCGCCTCGACGGTCCTCACGCGAGCCTCGAACATTATTCAAATCGCTTACATTCCCGGTGTTACCAACCGAGCCACTCCCGCCTCACCCGGTGTTCTGGTTCCTCCCGTACCTCCGATCCCGATCACGGTCACCGACTCCAACAGCCCGTCTCACTACGAAGATCAGCATTTCTTCATGCCTGGTGATTTGCGTGACTCGACTTACTCGGCCATGACCGGATACACCGACAGGACATCTTTTGCTCGAACCTCGTACGCACCCAGGTCAAGTGTCGCGTCTACCATTTACGGCAAGAATGTTGTTGTATCAACGCCTCAGACCGGTATGCGGGCTAGGCCTGCTATGATTAGCGTTCGCTCCGGCGCTGCCACCACCAGCAGTGGCTCCACCACGCCACCAGTGCCCAGCGTCGACTACGACAAATATTCCAGGCCCAAGAGCCGCGACAGCACCTTCAGTATTGGCTCTGCATTCATGAAGAATGCCAGTGCCTCAACAGCCACTCCAGTCCGGGCCCAACTCGTCCGTGTCGCGAGCGGAAAGAGAGTCAACATCAAGAGCAAGGCCAGTGACGATAACACACCAAGTATCCGCAGCCCTCTTGGTCCCGACTCCAGCTCCCCAACAATCGTTGAGGACACTCTACCCGAGGATGGCCCGTTCTTGGATCCACCCGAGCCTGCGGCCAGCAGGTTGAGCCACTCGAGCACACCTAGTCTTAGCGCAGTTATTGAGGAGGCCACAAGAAGGGCGGCTCATGTCGAGAAACCCAAGTCTTTGACGCGAGAGACAAGCCCATTCGGCGACGAACATGCAACGAGGGATTAAGGATAGTATGCGTACGCATCTTCATCTATCCTACCCCCTTTATACGGCCTGATCGGGATTGGGCTATTGTCTCTTCGCTTCTCGTGTTTACATGTACCGTGCTCCGTCAAGCCGACGATTGCCGCACGGGCTGATGCTTATGAACCTTACCCATCAGCGGCTACACTCACTACCTTCATCTCTGCTGCGAACATTATCTTTCTTCTTCTACATCGGATCTTTTATGTGACGTACACTTTTTTTTTTTTCTTTGTCTAATCTTTTTACCCCTTTTTGGCGGCCGGGATATCTTGGAAAGTTGGAAACGGAGTTGATTTAAGCGGATACCTACATTCCACGGGAAACACTGGGATGAATGTACAGCAAAGCGCAACGTGGACATATAACGTTACCTTTCATCGTCTGATGTGTTGTTTATTCAATAGATATGAAATGAAATGAGCCGTTTTTGAGGCAAGACCGTACCGTTCCTGTGTGCCGCTGCGTGCTCCCGTGTGTGTCCATTGCGTTCTTGTCTCTTTCGGATTCTCATTCCGAGGATGGAATGTCCAGATCTATCTGCTCGAGTGTGAACAGTGGCGGGCGGCGTTAATGTGGATCGTCGATGGCTTCGCTTAGAGCCAGAGGAGCCTCTCCCCGTCAAACACTCGGAGATGCAAATGCTTCCTGTTTCCCAACAATGATACTACCTGCATCTAATAACCAAAACGCAAGCTATCATCCTCCTTGGCGGTGGGAAAACAACAAGTTTATGGGTGATCCAAAGCTCTCCAGGCCAGTCGTCACTACACTGGACGAAGAGCTATCGAGCTTGGGGTTATCCCCGTGCCAGTGAGCACTAGCCTCTGGTAGCAAGCCCGAACTCATAGTCGGGGGAAACAGGAGAGGGTAGTCAGGACAAGAGAAGTTTTCAGGGGTATATCTTATGGATATCTCGTCGCATCTTGATAGTGGTGGTGTCCAATGCCCCAGAATAGAGACATACCTTGGCCCAGCAACGCCCGTCGCCTGGTGAGAACTGCCCCCGACACCTAGATGCGCGGCGATATGCCCATTCCATCCTGCCTGCGTTTCCTTTCATCGTAGTAGCTCGTGTTTATCTTCCAGAGCGAGTGATCATACAGATAGTGAATTCTTATGTACCCAGCGCTCAGCATCCAGAATCGACTCAAGGAAGGTGCTACATCGTGGAGTGTACGCGCTCCTTCCTCCGGACATCCCCCAAAGCCTCTCGTGATAACTTTACATACTGGATCAGGGCAAGAACCATCAACCGAGCAGCTCAAGCAGCAAGACTGCGACCAGTGGCCAAGTGGTCATTGGAGCACTCAGAAGGTTAGAAAATTGCAATTTTCGTAGCTCGTGGGAAGCAACCAGGATTCGATCCTGGGAGCAACCCGCGAGCGAGCTTTTTTCCTTTTTCTTTTTTCCCCTCCCCGTTCCTCACATATCCTATTGACGCCTTTCGTTTTCAATTCTTTTTCCTTCTTATTCTTTTCTTGTTCTTTTTTTCTTACTCGTAGACGAGCCAGTCGCAGAACTTACAGACAGCACATCGTGGCTTAACTCTCAGGGTTGGACACACGAAAGAGATGGGGGGTTCACCAACCGCTTCAGCTCCTCCGTGTGCAGCTAGCGTCCTCGCTTCGTGGATGAGAAGCAAACCTGTTCTGTGGCATTTCAAGAGCAGTGCGGAAACTCAATCGTCATCCTTTCGTCAGGCGAACTGCCAAGATGCAACAGACCGTGAAGGCAAATATATGCGATGATCAGCCTCTATCAAGGAAGAGCTCATGCACACACCTAGAGGTCCAGAACTTAAGCATGGGGGTTGTACAAACAGGGTGGCATCTAGTCATGCATCAGTGAGGCTTACACTCAATGAATGGCGTCTCTGACTCGGGCATTTGTACTTGTACGACAATGGAGGAGATGCGTGGGGGGAACAACGCCTTCAGAGAAAAGAGAAAAGAGGAATCTCTCTCTCCCTGCCATTTCTGTCTTCTCCTGCTCCGCGAGGCATTTACTTGCACAGCTGATCAAAAGATCCCTCTGTCGCCATCAATGAAACGACACCAAGTCGCATCTGTCAAATCAACCCATGGATTCTGCACCTCGAGGCGGACTTTTCACATTCGCCACCAATGCAGATATTTACCCCCAACCCATTCATGTTGGTGTAATAGGCAAGGCAACTTACAATATTGGAAGGTGGCCCCCAACCACGGTGCAGGGTGTGAACAATACACCACCACCAACACAACTGGTCCCCCGAGGTATCGATCCCTTCTTCACAGAGTGCTCAGGAAGCGAGCGGGTCTCCGCCGCCACGGCCGGCACGGGATGGCCGTGCTCCCCCCACACCCAACAACAAGCCTCTCTTGCTGGTGGGTTACGCGATCCCTACTTCCTAGCTCTATCCGGTTTCGTGATCTCGTTTAACGTACCAGTTGATTGCGGGCTTCCTAATCTTTCTATTAGTCGTTCATTGTGGTCCTGCGGGCTACGTCGTGTGTGAAATGACGAGTCATTGAGCGAAAGAGAGCTGGTGAAAGCGTCGGATCCGGGCGGCTAGTGGGCAAATGATTGGCCGTTTTGAGTGGGACGTAAGGCGCCCGTCGCTATCCCCTGTAAGCTGTAAGCTGCCCGCATGCAGGACTATTCATGGTCTTCCAATACAAGCTGGCCAAGTAGACTCTCAGCCCCATGAGCCGATATGTCCCAGCTGGGACGAGTAGAGTCCGTTGGGAGAAGTAATTAACGACGTGCAGAAAACTCCCTGCCAGGTCCGTCACCTTGGGCGTCGATTCCGCAGCTATTGACGCCACAGGACAAGGGGGTAGGGCAGCTTTCAGGCAATACATTGTGCAAAGAGAAAGGGACAGATGAGAGGATAATACTCTCGAAACTCAATGGACAATCACATTGTGAGAGCTTTCTGAAAACCCTGCACTTCTCGATGCGTCCTTAATATCGGCGAAAAGTCTCTCCGAGACTCGAAGGATTCCGGCACTCTTCCTAGTAGGGACCACGCATCTCCAGAGCATCTATCCATACACTGACGGCTCTGAGGTGGTCCAGACCGTCGCCAACACGACAGCTCTCTCATAGAAAAATCAGGCCAGCCGCACAGCAAGAAAGCGCAAGTTGGTGAGTTTGATTCACCTCCGGTGGCGTGGGAGATCGGCGATGCGGTCTTGGAGGCTGGGCAAATGCGATAAATCGACGCAGCCGAGACCGAGCGAGTCGTCGGCGGCCCAGCGGAAAGAAGAAAAAAAGTTTTTCATTTTTTCTCCTTCCTTGTTGTCTGCATAAACATTATTCGCATCACATCGGAAACTTTTTTTTCCTTCTTCACTGCCGTGGGTTCCGGCCTGGTGAGTCTTTCTAGGCCAGAGGCTTGGCTTGGCGCTCAGGATGCCACACGAAGGATTAATAGTGGTTCCAAGAGCAATAATAGGAGATTTGAGGACGGATCCATTCAAAGAGATCCCCACAATTACCGCCTAACTCCCGTTGACGGGTGAGCCCGAAGACGAAGGGGGTGGATTCAATGTTGATATTACTCCGTCCTCGAACGGCTTCAAGGGGCGATCAATCACCGTCAACCAGAATTTAGTGCACCGGTGTGTACAGCTACATTTTACAGACCCGACCCAATCCAGATAATCTTAACCGTCAACCCGAGTATTTTGGGGGAGGAGCGCTGAGTACTCATTCCAAGACTCTTGCTCAAGCGTCTCTCACACAAAGATATCTCAGAGTTTGCGAAGTTGATCATGCTCCGTACTCCAGTGGGTCATAGAAGGCAATCTCAGGCTGGCGGCGCCTCTGATACATAACGGGCACATATAATAGTGGACATTTCTCGACTTGCGCAGGTTTTGGCGATGGATAAGAAGTCAAGGAGTGACCTAAAAACAAAATGCGCTATTATTTCGTACACGGAGAGACGACTGCGCCCCTACTAATGAAGAAACAGCTCTTACTTCATAGATATCTGAGCTAACAGAGGTGAAAAGACCAAGGAACGGAAAGGGGACGAGACCAGCGGTGTCCCCGAAGCGGCTCTGGAGCCGGGAAAAGATCGCCCCTGTGAACTTGTATTGCTTGGCATAAGTAGACTGTCCAACAAGTCGGGCTGAAGTCGAAAAGGGACGGAATGGAACGGCATGGACAATTGATACGATTGATTTCAAATCCTCCTCGAGTTCGGTCAACAAACTTGTCGGTCGGAGTCAAGATACCGATACCCGAGGCCAGGTACGACCGTGAAAAGTTAACGAGCTGTCCGAGGTCTTGTAAGGAGGAAAATCTTCATTTCTCGGATCCTAGTCCCTTTGCGGACAGTCCCTTAATACCTTGAAGCATTCCCTTGAAGCATTCCCTTGAAGCATTCCCTTGTAGCCATCCGGGATTACAGGGCCAATCCAGGGATCTGGGACGGTCTAGACTCCATTTCGCAAAGCTGGGTTAAAAGCCCCCATTAGGAAATAAACTAACACGTCCGGAACCTTTCAAGGATATTCGATCTCATACGAAGTACACCGAAGCGCATATGAAGTAAGTTAGTGCCAGCAAAAGTCGAGGTTTCTTCGAGCAAGACTAAAAAGTAGAAAAAGGCGACCAGTTCAGACCATGATTGGAGGAGTCAACCAAATAGCAGTGATGGTTGCAGGACACTGCATATGCTAGGACTAATAATATTGACCTGGTTGTAACCAACTAAAAGCATACTCCGTACTACGATCGGGGAACACATAGTGCCGTAACATTGATGGTGACCAGACTACACCACATTTAACGCCTCACGCTCCATGGTATCTCGGTCTCGATTTCTCGATCTTGAGGGCGGAGTTACGAAGCACAGCACTCCAGCAGCACATCGTCTAGCGGAATGGGGGATGGTATTGGGTGCCCGTGACAGCAAGGAGGGTGCAGGTATCAAGCTTCCCTGGTGTCCACTGACGATGGTCACTTCGGACGAGGTAGGTTCCGGT